CCTTTTAAAATCACCTCTTACAAAACATGTTTATTTTATGGTTGCACAAGGATATTGTTACTGAAAATGAATCTGAATTAAATGTGCAGGGGTTTTTTTGTTTTAAAGATTAGCATGTTAATGTTTAAATGTGATTTCTGGGACAAACAGAGTAAAAGTATTTCAGGAAGGGACAGATATAAGATTTAGCTTTTAATTTTTAATTGATGTCTGGTCTTTTCACAGCCATAAAACAAGAGGTATAGGAGAACATCTTTTGAGTTATACTTCTGACTGTCACATCTGTAATTAGCGATACGTTGAGCAAAATATATTTCTGAGAACTTTCTCTTTTTGGAGATTGCCTTACAAGTTTAGACATAAAGCTATGGAGGAAAAGTAATCGGAGAGAACAAAACCAGGAATTAAACCTGGTTCCAGTATTACATGACTTGACTCTTTTGAGAAGATACTGGAAGCTAGTAAGACTCCATTACATACTAGAAGCTGAGCATTTGGTTAAGGGCTTTTCTAATGGAGTTGTTAGAAATTTGAAGCATTTAAAACTGTATATATTTTTTAACTGATTTAAGGCTTAGTGACCTGATGCACTGAGAATGGTTAAACAACTATAGAAACACATGTACAGTGTTTAAAGTCTGCACAACTTGGTCTGTACAAAAGGTATTGATGACTTACACATCAGTGTAAAATACATAGAGGATTATTATTTTGTATTTTCTCTTTTTCTGTGTTTAGATTTTTTAATTGCATCCTCTTAATTATCTCATGTGGCTTTTTATATGTTCTTGCTGATATTTTGACAGAAATGATTGATAAGTTTCCAGGGCAAAGAGGAAGAATGAGGATTACTTTCAGGAGGGATGTGCAAGGAAAAAAGGTATCTGGAGGCTGAAGAGAATAAGAGACACAGTGCAGATATCAGGAATAGCATCTTCCTAATGGCCATGTTATGCTCTGTGTCATGGCTGGTGCTGTCTGTTCTGGTAACAGTACAGTATGAGCTTTCTTATCCATCTTTTTTCTCCCTGGGGTTTGATCCAATGTGGAATCCAGAGGCAGAAGCAATCCTCTGTCTCCTAAGCAATCCTCTCCACCTAAAACTGAGGAGACAGTTTTGCATGGAAACTTTCTTTGTAAACCTCCTGGCATGTAGAAAAGCAGGACTCTCAGTCTCACAGGCACAGATTGCTGGGACCAGGATTCAGATGATTAATTTGGGCAGCAGCTGTGTCTAAGACAGTGTTTTGAGTGTTGCAGAAGAAAAGGCTAAAGCTGGAATGAGGTAAGTCTGTGACTCCATTTAGGATGCGCCTGTGCGCTGTGAGTCACCGGCTGAGTGTGCGAGGTGAGAGTTGTCTTGGCATAAACCGAAGTGGTTTTTCTCTTCCAGAAAATGAATCACCTGCTTCTGAGTGTATCTCTTTTTGTTAATGTCTATGAAATAAACAGTTTGCAGAGGCTTTGCTACATTAAAATATGTGGTTTTTCTGTCATAGCAGAGGACCTTTCAAGCAAAGGGAATTCGCCTTTTGGGACCAGTGTTTTTCAGACTTTTCCCAGAAATATGTTGTGAGTGATCAGTACAGTGCCAGAGACATTGTCCTTGTAACACTGCAGACTTATTACCAAAAGTATCACCAAGTAAAGACACTAATGCAGTTAAAACTGTCAAGTGATCTTTATTCTCAGTCTGTTTCTGTTTATTCTCCTTACTTTGGCCACTTCTAGCTTTGAAGGGAGAAATTTTGTCATGTTAAAATCTGAAAAAAAAGTTAACAGGATGTGCTTTCCCTGGAGACACCGTGCTTGGGCCAGAAATTGTCCTGCTATCAAGGAAGTCCCAAACTGTTAGTTTTCTCTTCAACAACTCATGTAGAAGCTGTGAAGGTAGTGGTTGAGCGGATCTGTTACAGCAGAGAGGTGCAGTCTAAGAGGGGACTGGCAGTACTGGCAGACCAAGAGAGCCTTTAAATTCTTGTGTCCTCACAGGTGGTACCACAGAGATCTTCATGAAGCTTCATGTGAGATACAAGATGACTGGCAGTCACAATTAGTTTATTTGAATTTTTTTTCTTGTTCTTGGTCGAGTTGTATCGTTTAGATGTGATCATTTACTTGCTGTGTTTTTCTTTTTACATATCACATTATTTATTCTGTTTATATTTACAGATTTTATTGTAGATGTTAGCACAAACTGTAAGCGGCTGGATTTGGTGCATTGGGAAACACATTAGATGTGTAAATGGATCCTTCTTGGCATTGACGTGTATTTGATGTGCTGTGTAATAGAAGAGGAGCTATTTCAGGTGGCCAGGTCCCATTTTCATACCTTTCTCCTTGGCTGTCACCAAGCAGATTAGACTTCAGACTTCTTTCCAACTATTGTTAGTAAAGATAACGTTAATGTGAGCTGAAGTGGCTGACCAGACTGCATCATCCATTACCTGTTTATCAACTTATTTGCGAGAGAAATAGTTCATGAGGCAAGAGGAATACTTACTGCTCATATCATCAGTCTGTTAGGGAAAGAATTGGTGCTGACCTGGCTGGGCTGGATGATTCCCACTCTGATACAGGGAATTCTGCAGGACCTTTGCCCGTGTCTCCACATCTCATTCCTTCAGTCTTGCCTCTGAGGCAGCAAAGGGAAGCACAGCATCAAGCCCAGATGTGCAGCATATGTCATGTGCACCCAGGCCTCACTGTCAAAGGCCATGGCAAGTTACTTTCTGAAGTAGATGGCCTCCTGGACAGTGTATCCACCACTAAACTCCAGCAGCTTCTGACCAAAAACTTCAATATTGCAATCAGACTGACTCCTCTCACCTTTGTGACACGGAAAAAAAATTAAAAAGTAATTTCTCTTTGTGTTTTTCGTTGCATCAGTTGAGTTTTCCCTTGATTTGGGGATTTCCTCAAGATGGTGACTTTGCCTCCTGTGTCACTTGGATTTTACTTTTATTATTATTTTCAAATAATCCAGTTCATTTTTTTTGTCCAGCACCTTGACACCTTTGTCTCAGAAGATAAGACAGTATGCATCTAACTGCACCTTGTATTCAAAACATACGTATCTGTGGTGTGTGGTCAACTAAACTGAATTTCTGTTTGTGACTACAGGAGATGTTGAAATACTCAGGTTACTCTTGCTTGATCAAAAAGACCTGGCAACTTGAGTATTCCCCAATCAAACTGTGGCTGTAGAACCAACCAGTGTAGAACCAACATGAAAGTTGATTTTTTGGCTAATGGGTCATTTGGCAAGTCCTGCATTATTCTTCTCCCTTTTTTTTAAGAACGTGTTTGGAAGATTGTTCATATATCTTCTTTTCTCTTGCTAGGCAAAATACAAGCTTTTATTTTTTCTTTTTGCCTTTTTTTTACTCATCTGTATAGCTGCAATTAAATGTAGAAGAAATTTGGGAATTTTTCTGTATTGTTAATTAATATTTTGTTGGGTCAAATGCCACCTTTTCCTTATGATGTCTTTTGAAGATCATTCTGTTGTGAGGTGATGAGAATTGTGCATATTTTTCATACTAAATATATTTTAACTTTTTGGAGGATAGAATGTATATGATGTGTTTTATAACCTAGTATAATTATCATTGTGAACTTTAGTCACTGGAGCTAATCAGTAAGTTGTTTGTTGTTACAGGTGGTTAATAAGTTTTCATTCATGATGTTAAATTCTTCCTTCCATTTCTTATTTCTCTGACTGACCTGACTTTCCCATGATACAGCAAATAAAAATAGGATGGTGCTACAATGCAGGCTAGTTATATTTGGTTTTGTATATAACAATTTCTAGGGAAAAAGGGGCTGGGAAAAGAATCACTACCATTCCAAAGATGATCTGATGTTACTGAATTATGTCCGCTAATTAGTTTTTCCACTATTAATACTTTTTGCACATGTGTAAGTAGAACTAGTCATTTTGAGTTTTGTTTTCTCAAAACTTGTAATCATTAGAAAGAATCATTAGGACTTATCTAAGATTGTAAAAGTCACTGTCGGAGAGTTCCTCTTAATTAGAGGATACATAATTTTATAATTAAAAATTATGTTTTTAACATTAATAATTACTCTGATGGGATAATTATTTTAATACCCTCTCCTATTTCCTGAAATTTGGTACTTCTTGAAAGATTGAAAAACTTTTGAGAAAGCTGCCTTTTTCTTCGACTTTGGGTTTAAATTTTAGAATAGCTGATTTTTAAAATTCTGAAATATGAATTCTAAATTAGATTACAGAGAGTAAGTTGTTTATTAATTTACTTGTGGTGGTAGCTTTCTTTTGCATTATCAGGTATTAAAGTAATCTTGTGGTAGAAGTGTGAGGATAGTCTGCACATGATGGGAAAAACAAGAGGAGTGGGAAAGGAAAAAGGTAGGATAACTCTTAAATGAGACAAGCTTAAATATTCAGACCATCAAAACACTGTTTTTTTGGACTGAGTTTTGGACCAATTTCCTTTTGCAACAAATTCCTTTTCCTTGTGCTTTTCCATCATCCTCATATTTTAAGAATGTGGGTGGAAAATAAGCATATTAGTCTTAAATGCAAAAGATAGGCCTATATCATCATCAGATTTGTTATACTCGCCTACCTCTTCCACAATGTTTTTATTCATCAAAGACAGTGTGACAGGCAGGTACGTCTATAAAACTTGGGAAAGATTATTTTGAATTAAAAGTCTGCTTAACAAGATACCACCTACATAAAACCTCATGTATTTATTATGGGAAACTATGTGAGTGTGTTGTATAGGTTTATTATTTATGGGAAAAATCCTGCTTAATATTGCATTTAATAACTGAATCAGTCCTCCTAGGCCCAATTCAGATTTGAACCCTAAAAATCTAGGAACCAACAAAATGCCTTTATAACCAGGCATATTTTGGCACCTATTGTTAGGTTGTTTGGTTTTTTTTTTAAATTAAGTTAGCTCGGATATTTAGTCAGATACATCACTTGGCAATGTTTTGTTTTTCAGGATGGGAAGAAGAAGTTTGACAAGGAAAGTGAGAAGTATTATTCCATCCTAGAGAAACACTTAAATTTATCAGCAAAGAAGAAAGAATCTCATTTGCAAGATGTAAGCACTAAACACATTATTACCCATTTTCGTATTTGCATAGAGATCATTGTAACAAACAGGTTGTCTTCACGACATGCTCTATTTTGTTAATGTGAAATTGTGGTGATTTCTTGTAGTCAAATATTTTAACAAGGCTCAATGTTCTACATGTCCAACATTGTGTACATCAAGTACAGCTAACGTTTATTGATTACAACAACAGAATTACATTAAATAAAAATGTGACTTATATAAGGTATATGTGAAAGTCAATTAATTACTTGCTTTTTTTTGCTACTTAATTTGTTTCTTGATGAAGTTATGTTTGTGTTTCACATAAATGTTAATCCGGGAGTCTGAACTGAGATCACTTTAATGATGCTTTTTTATGCTTCTGTTTTCCTTTTTCACTGTATTCTGAGATTGCAGCATCATGCCCTGATACTGCATCCACAGCTTCAGCTTTGAAGAGTCTGTATGGCTAGTTCTTTTCTGTTAAATAAAGCAATCCATTAAAACTTCTAGTTTAACAGGAGGATTACAGGGGTTTTCAGTATACTGGTAGAAATAATTATGATTTTTCTTTGAGGCAAATTACAGTAAAACCAGCAATTTGATATCAATGACACCTTGGGATTTGTGCCAAAAAATTATTTTGATGGGATTACTCTTATCACAGTGACTCTTAAATCATGGGGATTAGTTTGCAGATGGAGTTTTCACAGAAGATGTGACCATCACTCTATCACAAATTGTAGGCTATTTTTTCATGTTTACCAATAATACTATAATTGGAATTGAATGAGGCTTAGCAATTCAACATTTGTAATAATTTTTATATTCCTGAATTGCCATTGTTCTCTCTATAATAACCAATCTAGATAAGATATTAATTATGTAGGATTGGTCAATTGTTCCACTTTTATGTCAAAGTTTAAAATCTTTCACTTTTCTTAAATGATCTGTGTATTGATGCAGCAGTTCTGTTAGAGGCTAAGCACCAGCTGAGAAAAAAATAAATCAATTTCCTATCAAAATGTGGAAAAATGAATGTAAGCACCAATTTACTCTAGAATAGAAATAAAATATAAAATGAAATAAAATATTTTACTCTTGAGACATAAGAATAATTAAAGTCTAAAAACAGCAACTGAAGTGAAAAGTAACAACTGTGAATATAATAAACGGTCGTAGAATAACAATGGATTTGGCTCAAGTATATAAACTAATGGAAAACCAGAATAAATTTTTCCACTGTGTCCTTAAGTAACATCTCTGGATTTAAAAATCTTGTAACCGAGGCTGATGTTTTTTGCTTTTCTGGATGCCCCATTTGTAAAGCATCTAAGGCATAACTTTTCATTTCTGCCTTCCCAATTTTATGCAGCTATAGGAATGCTGAATCAGCAGCACAGACCCATCATAAACAGAAGGTACAATAGCAGAGCAGTACCAAAAATGTTAACCAGAGAGACTTTTGGCCTGTATCTGTATCATAAATAAAAGGAGGCCAAGCACCAGTTCCTGGCCCGACATGTTGATTCACATCCAGAGTGGTTCAGGTGAGCCCCATGAGTAGCCGATGTGTCCAGGACAGGGTTCACTGGAGCAGCCCACAGCAGAGCCAGAGCACGAGCAAAGACCCAAGTGGTGCTGGCACCCAGGGTTTAGTGCTCCCTGAAAGTGAAGGGAAGACCTTGCCTCAGGCTAACCTCATGCATTTAATGAAATGGGAATACAATTTTTCAACTGCTATTGTCACACTGAAAAATACGACTTTTTTTTTTTTAATCCACTGTTTTTTTGAATTGTTGAAGTTTCTTGGTATCCCATCACACTATGTGGGTTAAAGAGTACTGGAATGAGCAAGGAGTAGTTCTTGGACCATATTGGGCTGTTTTACATGTCTCACTTGAGTGCAATTGAGAGCACCTTAATTAGGCTTCTAAAGTTTGATGGTCTGAACATATTCTATAGAGAGTGGTTTGCATATATTTATCTAATTGAAATGTGTTGGATATTTTAAGAGCTTGCGAGACTGCTTATGCAGTTTACATAGATGATTAGATTTTTCTCCTTTAGCATCAAAAAGCAGCTTCATGATACTGTCTTTTCACTGTCTACTGAAGTCCACAGTGGGACAGAAAATAGAATTGAGTGATGTGGAAAAGTTAATTAACTCTCTAAGCCTATGTGAAGTTTTGGTATACATTTTAGTGATACCCTACATCAATGAAAATATAACTCAATATAACTAGATATTATACAAGACTCAAAATCATATCCATCAAATATATTTTCTTTTTTATGTGCAGTTTGAAGTCATAGAAAAACGTGTGAAAATCCTTTCAGCTTTTGAAACTTTAAAATAACTTTCAAAGTGATTCTTACAAATCTAAATCCTCGGTGTTCACACAAATTGATAAGCTTCTACAGAAGGTGTATTTTGGAAATGATGATTTAGTCCCCATACACTAGTGGTGATTATGGCCTTAATTTAGGAGCCCATCCATATTTGAGATGGCACTTGGTTGTCATAAGTATCATTACAACTACAATCTGCTTAAATGCTGTTCAGGATAGAGATGGATTTAATTAGGCGTTTAAATACTTTTTCTGAGTCAAAGCCTGAAAGAGATCATTTCTGAAACTAGATTCTATTATTTGCTTACAATTAAATTTGAGAGCTGAGGTCTGTCTTGAGTGCTTATTGATGGAGCTTGTGTGAGCGAGGGCTTGCTGGATCATGTCCCAGAGTGGTGGCACCTGGTTCTGTTCAGCTATGCACCATTGCTTTCATGATATATCTTTTGAGAAATAAAACTGTTAACAGAATATCAGAGAAAACGGTAGCCAAACACATTATGTGAATGGCACGTGGCAGTGTTAATTCTCTGGTAAAGCACTTGATTGTTGGATTTGAGTGCGTGATTTCTGCTTCATAGTATTAGTTTGTGCACTTAATTTCCTGATTAGTTTTTATAGGCGTGGGAAGGAAATGCTAGTACTGATTCATTTGAAACATATCACTGGGGCCCGTGCTAGGGCAGTGTGCTAGGGAAGTGGATCAATGTTGGTAAGAGTCCGTGCAGCCAAATCATGATAGTAGCATGTCCTTGACTAAAGAAGCAATGTTAATGATATACGGTGCTATTGATGACCAAGTCCTGCCTGAAGGAAAATACTGACTTCTGGCATTTGTGCTGTTAAAAGTACTAAACCTCTTTTGTGGTATGTTTGCTGTCAAGGAAGGACAACATTTCAGTTTTCCCATATTTGTTGTTTCTAATGCCAGAATTGAACTAGAAAATACACAGAAGTATACTGCTATATTTTAACTGGCTTACATCAGAAATAGCTGAACTACTCTTACTCATATTGCCAATACTTGATAAAATTTCTTTTGACCTGAGAATAAAACCTAACTAATGCAGCCCAAAGGGGATTTGCTTGAGAAAATGGTTTGTTACAAAGAGGGATTCATTAAAATGGAGTCTGTATCTCTTCTTTAAGCATTATCCACATACAACACTGCTTGTCTGTTAGGTCCCTCTCCCATGGCTTGTTTAAATTGAGGATAAAAGCCTGTTACTCTGTCTACTGATAAGAGTTAATTCTTTAGCTGTTTGTGCAGAAGACACTGTTTTGGTAGTGTATCTTCATGTCGGGTGGTATTATTCAGATACGTTTGACAAGTATTGCCTTGTAGTTGTGGCATTGGAAAATTAAAACATGAAAAATAATTGATTTATGAGATTAAGGACTTAAATATGTTTATGTTTCAAGAGTATGTGACTCATACTATGAAAATGTTAGTTACAAGATGTTGTTGTTAAAGACAGTCTATTTAAGAAAGAAAATACCATCTTGGGAAGTTATTTGAAGCTGAGAAATAGATAGAGTTTCACTTAATGTGATACTCAAACATTTCAATAGAAATCATTATCTTTTTGTCCCTCCTTAATTCCTATCCTATTCTCTTCTATTTCTTTTTCTAAACTTGCCATATACCAGCGACAGAGTTCCTGCTGCCACCTTTCTTTGTTTTGCTTCAGGCTGTCCTAAAAACTAAAATTAAAGTGCAAAAAGGAAGAGGAAACCATGAGTGGGGAAAAGGCATTAGGCTGAAATGTGTTAGCTTCTTAAACTTGCATTGAGGAATTTTAAGTAGGTATTCTAATTTTCAGGAAGAAGACTGAACCCCATGAAACTTGTAAATAATGTTATGGAAGATCTGTTTCTTAATGACAAAATCTGTTTTTAAAGCAATCGTGAGAACAAATTAACATTGTCTATATTTCATATTGTCCTTTAGGCAGATACACAGATTGACAGAGAACATCAGAACTTTTATGAAGCATCGCTAGAATATGTTTTTAAAATTCAAGAAGTACAAGAGAAAAAGAAATTTGAATTTGTAGAACCTGTAAGTATTATGTTTTATTTTCTTTTGAATACCTGTATTTAAAGCTGAAAATGAAATTTAAAATATTTATTTTTGGTCCCTTTTTAAATTGTGATTGCAGGTTTTTGTATATAGATAGACATTAAGACCTTGGCTTGGGCACTTTATATGTTTATTAAAGGATTATATAAGAGTATCATATCTACTGTGAAGTGCCTGATGACTTGGAGTGTGCATAATGTTTTAATGGGACAACATGTAATGTTGTAATGGACGTTTCCTAATACCATGGTTTCATGGCTGAAATTTTGAGCCAGTTTTTGGATTTAAACATTCCATGTAGACAGTACACACATATGTATTTCCAAGTTACACATGAAATGAAGTGAATAATCAGTTTTTCTGTAGGATAGGTAAGTTGGGTTTTTTTTTTGTTGCTGGAATCATTTGTCTTTAGTTTACTTTGCACATAAAAGCAAGCATATGTTGACTCCATAAAAGAGGAAGATAAAATTGTGTTTCAAAGTCCATATATAGATCTGGGTTTTTCTCCTGGATCCTGTTTCTGCCCTCCATCCCTAACTATCTTCTGGGTCAGTCAGTACCAAAAGCTGCTTCATTATGATGTGCTAGCATATTTCTGTCATATGAGTAGCGTTACTACCATTCGTGTCATACAGGACTAGCTTGCCAATCGCCTTATTTAGTTCGTACCTGTAGCCCTTGACAGAACTTCCAATGTCATCTGTCCCTTCCCATTAAGCATACTGAACATAGCAGAGCATCAGTTGTGAAAGAGGAACATGACAAGTATAACTTTTTCTCTCTCTCCACATCATCTTCCAGCTCCCTTGTAACTAACCAAAGCAGCACTCTTGACTGTGAAACAGGTTGAATTAGATCTCTTAACACCCAGTGTCACCAAAAAGAGCTTCTCAGATGCCTCCTTTCCATGAGATGAGAATGTATTATATAGTGAATATCTGACATTGATGGAAACTAATGAACCTGGATTCAGCAAGCAGTACTTAGAGAAATCCTGTCTTTACAGCTGCCAAATGGTAGAGACTAAAACCTTGCTTGGATTCCTAAATAAGAACATTTTTTTACTTGTCACAGATTAATCCAGAGTGTGTATCTGTCTACTTCTACAAAACTGGAAAAATCTAGCCATCTTGACTTACCTCTGACCCTGGTATAGGAGACTTTATGCTCCTTTAAAGTAATAGAAAACTTCTGTATTGAGAAGACTTTGTACATCAGGAAATATTATTGTGCAATTATATATAGTTAAAATAGGGCATCTTTCATCCTATGTGCTAGACAGAGAGCAAAAATATATTTTATTTTATATATTTTAGCTAGAGATAGTGATCTTTATCCTTTTGACTAGGAGCTGTCCCAACACGATGTCAGCCATCACAACAGCAGCTATGAATTACCAAAATGAAAGAGTAATTTATGAATTCATCAGTGCTGATACTGAGTAAGCAAGCAGGGGAGGTTACTGGTAAACTCAGTCTTGTGGACCTGGGTATTTTTTTCACCATGTGTACACATCCAGTAGGTAAAATTTATTTTTGCATGGATCAGTTGCCATCCTGTGTCAGATCAGTAGGCATTTTAGCCTGGTATGCTGTTTCTTGCACATAGGTCATTACTTGATGTTCTAGAGGAAGGTACAGGAAATACTCTGGTGACTGAGTAATGATAGCCCTTGCAGTCAGTGTCTTCTGACTCCAGGTGTGAATTTTTTTAATCAATCTGAATATAAATGGAGCTTAAATTACAACGGCAGTTATAAAATTTTGAACCTTCAAAATTCTTAATTTTTTCTTTCTAGTTTGTTGCATACAACATGCAAGAATAAAAAGCATTCACTAAAACCCATAAGGCAAAGTACGCCAAGTAAATGATACACATCGGCAATACTATGATACCAAAAAAAAAGTCCCAGAATAGGCTTTCTAAAATTTCAGGGTTCATGTAAGTGTTGTTGGAAGTATGAGCACATCCTCCCAGATGCAAGTAGGTAAGGACAAAGAGTAGCACTTTAAAATCACATATCAAAAGAATTGCCATATTATTCATTCTCCTCTGTGTGCTCTACGGATGTTCAGATGCTAGAAGATGCCTGGTGGTGTGTCTGTATAGACATTCCTCCTCAGGAGCTCTGCTGGTTGTGGGGCACTCTAGTGCGTGTACTGCTTTTATCTCCGATTTATCAGCTCAGTGTCATGTCTCCATGTAATTCTTAGTCTGATGTGTTACTAACAGACTCTTTGAAGGAGAGTTTAACAAAATGAAAAAAAGGCTATTAGTGCAGTGAAGGAGGAAATGGGTGTGTCCATGTGGAGGAATGGTAAGTTCATGACATCAGAATAGAACTCAAAAGCAAATGATCTGCTGGAGCTTTTTCCAAGATCTTCAGTTTGTTTGTGCCAAAAGATAAGGATGGTCTGGGAAACAAGAGTGAGAGGACTATTCTAGCAAAAATTGCCAGGTGGGTTACACCTAGGACAATAGGACAGTAGAAGTTGGTAAGAGTGGAGTTATGTTCCTTCCTGGAGGAGAGTGAGGAGAGACTTTAAGCTGCAAAATGCTAATGACTCATACTCTGAATAGAGGATTATAATATTTAGAGTAGACTTTTACAGCTGCTCCACAGGTCTTGGATTTCTCTGCTGTTTTCTGCATCTCATTTCAAGGTGTTGCTGATGTGTACTAATGTGAGTAACTGACAGATGCCTGTTTATGATCCTCCTAGATCTTGATTGCATCCAAGGAAGAAAAAATCTCTAAAGTTTTTCATAAAGATTTAAACAATTTAAACTTTTTCTCAAGGTCAAATTAGTGTTAAAATTTACTTTACAACAAATTAAACAACAAAGCAAAGGCAGTGACAGTAATCTCTCATCCTAGATTTGCCCTTGTGGGCCCAGAGAATCTAGTCCAAACCAATGACACTTTCTGAGGATGTTATGCTTGTTAAGAGGAATACAAACACCATCTTAGAGCTCCACTTTGTCCCTCAGCGATGCCAGGACTTCCTTGGCCTGTAGAAAACAGGACACAGAGTTCATAAGCGGTAAACTATCTGAAATGCGAGGGGTGTTCCATTAAATGTCACAAAACCCTAAAAGTGTTTATTTAAAGAGAAAAAAAACACCCATCAACAAACCCTCCTTGTAATTGCATGCAGTTCCATGAGACTTCACTGTGGATGTTAAACTCAATTTCCTCTTTCTTGGATTTTCTACATTATTAACTACATTCACTTTAATCTGATGAATAAGTGCTATCTACTTATAAATAAATGAAACCAAGGAGACAGGGACTTCTGGCTGATGTGCTGCAAGCTAAAGGTTAAATTCCTTCCCCTATCCAAAACCTTAGTACGGTCGTCTTCCTGTGAGAATGAAATGACCAGGCAGACTTGAGGTCACCAGCTCTACATAAAAATAAATAAAGTCTCAAGAAGTAGCTGGATTTTGTTTCAGGTTCTGTGTTGAAATCTTCATGGCACTAGGGTAGTGAATAGCGTTATATTACTGACTTCAGACCTCGCTCTTTATTGATGTGACCAATTAAATACTCAGAATGAGGTAACTATAAAGCACTTGTTGCAAAGAAAAATTGTTGATATGAACACATCAGAAATTGTATGTGATATTTGGTGAAACAAATCACCTCTTTACATTTGAAGACCACCTTGAAATACAATTCAGGACATCTTTTTTCAAAGAAAAAATGACTAGTTTTCTTTATTATTTAGTACAAATATCTTTAAAATGATGAGTCTGCCTTTAGCAGCAGTACCACTTCTAACACCAGCAACAAGAAAACCCCACTGTGAGCATAAGCTTAGGGCAAAAGTCCTTGGCTTCTGTGTATCTCTTCCATGCAGTGCTGTGGCTGTACCTGTCCTGATGGGGAGTGGTTGTGTAGATGCCTTAACAGCACAGGCCCATTGGGTACAGCATATTTTCTAGTGGCACATACATAGAAGCAAATACCATCCTCAGTGACAGTTGTTTAAACACAGAACTTGAATAAGCTGGTCTAGGGCTTGCATAAAATATTTTCACTTTTCATTTATTCCTGTTTCTCTAAGTGCTCAGAGAGTATTTGACCAAGTAAATCACAGGGCCAGATCCTCTGCAATGCACAACTGTACTATAACTAAAATGCACTCAGAATTTACTCAGGTTTTTTTGTTGCTATTTCTGTGCTTTCTGATAAATTCAGCTTTGCTGCCATCTTGTGTTAAGTATTTTTTTGTCAATATATCTCTGTGTACTATGTAAAAGTGTTTTGTATTGTGGAAAAAGGTTTTCTTCAAGTATTGAAGCTGAAATTTAAACAGTTTATAGTGCATTCTGCTGAAATGCCCTTTAAACTGATCTTCAAAATTCAAGCATAAGCTGACATACTGAAACTTTTTCCCACTAGTGCTTTTATTGTAATTTTGGTGTGTTCTAACATTCTGGTCTAGCTGCAGTTTTGCTGTGCGCTCATATTACTCCTGCAGTGCATCTTTAGCTGAAAGGGGTGGGTTTGCAGCAGGCTCATACTTACAGGTTAAGTTAATCCACAAAGTAAGCACAGGACTAGTCATGCTGCTGTATCTGAAGGAGCCGTAATTGGGGACGCTGATGAGTAACTGGATCTAGTCTGTGGGCACTGAGCTCTGCACAGCTGGAGCCAGAGCAAAGCCTTAGTTATAATTACCTTATTTTATACTTTATTCATAAAAAAGGAAGACTGTTTTTCTTTCTTCACTTTTTCTTTTTTCTTTTTTTTTTTTTTACTTTTTATTTCTTTCATGTAATTCTTTCTAGAATTGCATTCTAAACCTTAAAATTATAGAACTATTTCTATCTGTTCACATAATTAGAGCTTTTTAAGAAAAAATGTTATATCTGGACCTTTTTCAAAGCCCCTTGAATAACCAGTAAGAGACTTTCAGGGCCAGGTCCTTAGTTGCAATAATGATTAGCTGGACAGGTGATCATGTAAAGCTGAAACAATTTACTGTAGAGCCCTTCACTTGATGGTATTGCCTTTATTGCTTGTTTGGTGGTAGGATATGGCTCAGGAATTCACACCCCTTGTAGAGGCCCCACAAAAAGTGTCTTTTATGACCAATGATCTCAGTTCTTCATTTTCTGTGGCCAACTTACTGGGCAGCCATGGGCTTTCACCACCTCTGTCTGAGACCAGAGTTTCATCTGATCCTGCAATACCAGTAAAAACCAAGGGTGAAGTCCTTTTCCCAGCCATGTCTTCACACTTCTATTTGTGCCAGCACTTAAATGCTCTATTAACCTCGAACTGCTTTAACTTGCTAATGCAGCGGAACAGCAGGCTTCCTGAGGCAGAGATGCTCACTGAAGGGCTCAGTGATGCCAGAGCTGACACAAGGATGTGCAGAATGCGTGACAAGACTGAAAGGGGAAAGAGAAACAGGAAGGGGAGAGCAAGACTTCAGTCTGGTAGCAGCAAGTCATCATGTTAGCTTCTCTGCTCAGAGTGCTGCATCCTTGATCTCTCATCTGTCAAACTGTGGAATTCATCTCATTAAAGGATGTGGAATGTCTGGAATCGATGGGCCTCTAAAATTGCAAATTGGTATTTTAGCTATTCCTCTGAAATAACATGTGTTACCTTAGTACAGCAGTCTCTTAGCAATAGGAAAGAGGGAGGCAGGAACAATTTAACTACATTTCTTCAAGTAGGGCTGAGTGTAAATTTAAAGAAAATATGAACACACTAAAAGCTACATTTTTAAGCTGTTTCACTTACAATAATCTACAGTACTGGTAACACAAAGAAAAGTGCATTAAATATGAATGATGGCAGTTTTGTTGCCTGAGTCTAGGCTACTTCAATAATCGATGGAGAGAGATAAATGTTTCCATTGGATTATTCATCCCATCCTGAGAGAGAAGTCTGAAAAAGAAAAAAGAAATATGCTCTTGAATACCTGTGGGTTTTTACTGAGATGAGGCAGCCTGGACAGCCAGTTACTTAGCCTAGGTGATTGGCTTTTCAATGGCAGTAATATACTAAGATAAATCTGTCTTGTAGTTATAGCTTTTGTTATTGTACATCCAAGTTAATATCGCCTTTTTTTATTTTTTCACTTCTTTTTTTTGTAAACTAAAATATATATACAAAGAAAACAGTCTATATAATAAAAAATTAAATGCTTGTTGTATAAGAGCAGATAAGATGACTTACGGCAATGTCAAAACATTTTTAAAATTTAGAATTGAATAAGTTAGAAGGCTTTAAAAACTAATAGCTGGTAGGAATGCTTTAACTGAACAGCTAAAATCTAGTTACACTTTTTACTACTTAAAATTTTAAAGCAAACTTTGGAAAGAATTTTCACCTGGATATGTACAGACTACAGCTGTTCTGTTGGTGTCAGTCACAGATATAGCACATAGAGTTTTCATTTTGTTCAGAGGAGGAAGAAATAGTCTGGATTTCTTGTGTTGTATTAAGCTAATCAAAACATACTTTCAAGAGTTTCACTTGTGGAAAATAGGTCATAGCCCGAGCAATTACTATGAAGAAAGTGAAAAAATATTTTGAAGAAAAAAAACCTCGAATTCTGAAAGTATGAAGTTGGAAAATGCATACCATCAAAGACTCCAGCTGAAATACTGGATAAAATGACTAGGACAGTGAATTAAATTATTATGGAAATCACAACTTCATGACGCAAAAGCCTGTTTAGCACATCTCTTTCTTAAGATCTGACTATGAATTCCTTGCTCAGCAAAGCTTTGCTGTTGCAGGTAATGAAAGCTTAGATTGTTCCAGGAGCTGAGACACAGAATGTTTTTTGCTGATGGTTTGCCATATTTTTCTGCTGAAAACTAATAGAAAATCAACTGTCCTTCATTTTTGCTTTCTAATATTCACCTGAATAGAAAAAGTATGTAACAGTGGCTAAGAACTATTTTTTCACTGCTTCAGGCAATACCTATTCCTTATAAGTTAGTGTGTGTTTTGTTATCTTTGTGTTATATCACATTAAGACCACATGTTAAAAATACATAATGCTTCTCAATTTTGCCTTTTCAGCTCTTGGCCTTTCTTCAAGGATTATTTACATTTTACCATGAAGGATATGAACTGGCTCAGGAGTTTGCACCATACAAGCAGCAACTGCAGTTCAATTTGCAAAACGTAAGGATGATTTGCATTTACAACATTTTGTTTGCTAATTTAATTTCAGAATATTAATGTAGACTCTTAGCACTTTATTGAAACTCTACATCTTGCAATGTTTTTATAAGCTGAAATCAAATTAATATATGAATAGGTAAAAGGGTTTTTTTGTAAGGTTAATGTAATTAAGATTCCTGTCAACAGATAACTTTGGAAAAATTAATCTTCAGATAATTAATTTGTGATTTCCAGGTCAAAATTTTGGGAGCGAGAGCCAGCAAAGCAGGACAGCAGCCAAGTTCTCATTAGAAAACAGAGTAGTCCACATAGGTTTAAACATGTGTAAATGCTTTCTTGAGAATGGGGCCCATCTTCTGGAGTAAGTGGATGTCCCAAAAATACTCCAACTGTTATAGAATGATGCAGTCTGTTTCTTTAAGATCACATTTTGCCACAGAAGGCTTTTCCTGCTGTATGCTAGGTTCCCACTGTATATAAAACATACTTGGGAAGCCGTTCTCTAGCTGTTCTCTGGAGCATCAAAGAATTGCTGGGGCCTTCCTCCACAGTGAGCAGCTTTCATGAACATTAAATTCTGAATTTAGTAGTAAGAGCCAAAAAAGCCACAGTTTTCAGAAATAACAAAAATGCATTTAATCGACATACTTTTCCAAATGCATCATAACTGATGTGTACAAGTGTATATTTACTTCGCTGTGTAACTCAGATGTTATACTTCCAAGACATACAAGTAAGTAGATAGAAAACATCTTTACACCCAGTTTGCATTAGAACCACTATCATTTGCTTTTAAGGCGAAAAGTGAAGTTCAGCATACTAATATTGGGCCAGCCCTACATTTTTCATGACAAGTAACATCAAAGTACAGAACAAATTAAAAAAAGTGAAGAAATTCTATCATTTGCTCCACATGCTGCATCTTTGCCATGACTTCTTTCCCATTTCATTCTTTCAAGAAAAGTTACTCACCCAACAGCAATTTTTTTAGCTTCACTAGAGTCAAAGCTATAACAGTTTAGAAGATCTGACATCAGCTTTTGTGGATAGTGCCTTGGACACTGAACACTGGGAATATGAAACAGGTCTGGGAGTACAAGAGCACCTTACTCTGCTCAACCGACGTTCTCTGTGGAATACTGGAAAATAAAACGCTGACATTTTCCCTGTAGCATCTTGCTATTGGAGGATCATATGTTGTCTCAGAGTTGGAAGATAGCATTGCATTAGCACTGTTGATGTGGATCTGTGTTCTTAGGAGTACTGAACTCTTCCAGGTTTTGCTGCAGTTAAACATCTGCAGCAGACCTCTGTAGCCCCCTCCCCTTTTAGGCCTGTTGTTCATATGTAGGTATAGATCCCATTTAAAATGCCACTTGGGGAAATAAGGCAAAACCTCCTAGATTATTAACATTTTCCTTTTCAGTCGAGATGCAGATGTTCTCTGCCTGTAGGCCATCTCAACCCCTTGTCCTTTCAAATTATGTATTTGATACTTTCAGTTTGCTACTGAGACTCTTTCAGATAAAGGCACAAGGGGTCAGTGTTGTTGCACAGCACAGTTTCAGTGAAAGGGTGAAAAATGTGCTTCAGTCCAGAGATTTACTTACTTTAATGTGGCAAGTTCTGAGAGGACACAGTACAGACCAAAACTGGCATTCTGAGTCAGAATATGTTAGTATCTTCTATCCCCATGTCTGTAGAAACAGAATTATTAAAGCATTTTTTCAATTTCAGTGTTAATTAAGAAATAGTTAAATAACTTCTTAAATATTACATAAGTACAACTTGAAATTGTAAATACACTACAGAGATAGAGCTGTAAAGTTATGCAGAAGGAACAATGTGTTACGATATTTTTTTATTATATTTATGTATCAGAGAAACAGATATGTGAAGATACAGTGGGATACAGTAAATCATTCACTGCTGTTGCACAGAAAGTTTGGATTCTGGCTTCAGATCTAGATCCACAGCTTCCATTTGCCAGTTGGCAAATCTACTGACTTGTCACACAGATTGAAGTGAAATAATTTATGTAGGGAGAGACAAACAGGAGAGCGTTCAGTGAAAATAGTGTTCAGCCTGTCTGTTGTAGCTGTGAAAAGTACTTCTTTCCACTGTATTATGTGTTAAGGTCATGGAGAATAGCTGATCTGAACTGTTTCTGTTCTTAAAATTGACCTACAGGTTAGAGCAGGAGCAGTAACAGCCGTGGGAGTAGCATGGTAGTGGCAGACAGACAGCTCTTAACAGGTCACCATGTCCTAACATGACCTGCTGTCACTGTTTCAGCCGGTCAGTGGTGTACTTTGCATGTCCATTTGGCTTTGTTTTTGATAATTTCATTCAAAATCCTGCCTGCTTGAAAGTAGTAATTAAAAAATTTAACAGACAAAAGATTAGCCTTCAACATGGGGACATTCCTCCCTTCACTGGCATGTCGCTCTTAAAGGTCTCAAAATGACCTGTTAAGTTTGGTCTGAAGTGATACTTCACCCTAAGGGAATTTTTACGTCTCTCTGTAATAATAATGTATGTCTTCAAGAAGATTTAATATGTGTATTATTATTCTACTGTGCAACTCCTTGAATGGCCCACAGAAAGGGGAAAGTATACATCACTGTATAAAGTCCTGAGTATCCTTCTGACTAGTCAGGATTAGAGTCCATAAGAAGACTTTGCAAAAACATTACAAAAATCTTTATTCTTTCCTATTACCTGTAAGTCTTCAACATCTGGTTTATTAGTAGCAACCTATCAGACTTCTGGCACCTCATAATAATTCTCTACTATACTGTGCTAGGTGTGGAGGGAAACAGCCTCACTGAATTAGATAGGAAGAAGTGTCCATTTATACACATATAGATATTAGAAAATATGAATAACCCACCTTTGGACCTAATTGTTTGCTTGGTGAGTTGCCTGGCTACACATGTGATATTTAGGATAGACACAGTACTTCTATGCTTCTGGCACAGTTCTGCCACTTGTGACCTGTTTCTTATCTAGCATAGTTATGTTATATTTAATGGTAGTGTTTGCATAATCCTGTCAAAATGTGTTCATGACAGTGCTGGTAACCTGACTGTTCTGAGTATCAGCAGCTGTGCTATTACTTCAGATATGGATACTCAGTACATTTGTCTCTTACACATGTGGAGAGACCGCAGCTATCTAGAGATGTTAGCCTGGCATTAACCTAAACTAGTGTTTTCTACACTGTACTTCAGGTGGCTCATTGGGACTTAACTACTTCAGTTTTGGGGCTATGCTATCAGCAGCTTGTAGTTTGGCCTGGCTTCTGTCTGTGTGAGAGAAAGCCTACGTCTGTCTGCAAAATGCTGTGTAAGCATACCTAAAGATACAGAATTACCTCCTTTCTGAGGTTAGAAACATTCAGAAAGAGGAATGTTGCTATTCACAACCACATTTCCTTTACACTTGTGTGCTTAAGTTGAATTCTTCATTATTGTTATTCCTAGGCTTCTAAAGCAATGAAGTCTATTATTATTTACAGCTTTTTTATTTTCCTTTTATGTCTCTGCTTCTGTTGGTCTCTGATACAGTTTCCTTGGCATTAGTAGTAATTAGTTCTTCACTGTTGTTTTGTACTTTCATGAGATAATGTGATTTTTCCTTTGTTTTCTTTTCTGGGTACTAGACCCGGAATAATTTTGAAAGCACTAGGCAAGAAGTGGAGAGACTCATGCAAAGAATGAAATCAGCCAACCAGGATTACAGACCGCCAAGTCAATGGACAATGGAAGGCTATCTCTATGTGCAGGAGAAACGTGAGTAAAACAGATGTACCTTTTACTTTGATTTGAAAGGCACCTTGCACAAATGCAAGGACAAGAAAAGGGTTTAGTCAGCAGGACAACACAACAGCTCTCTGTTTGAATGCCTGCAGACTTCTGCTATGGTTGCTTTCCAAATGATTGAGAGGTTCAAAAGAAAAGTAGGTGCTTGACTTTTCAAAAAGCACTCAGAGTAGCTATGGTCAGATGGAATGATGATCAAAACACTTGTAAGCAACTGAACTCCTACCTCCTGGGACCTTTTGGGTTGGTCCCTGCTATTGGCCACCCTAGTGGCTGACTGGTAGCAAGCTCTGCTCTGGCTGGCTGCCCTACGCATTGCTGCAGACACTGCAAGATCCCAGCACTCTGCTTTGACTCTACCTGCCAAACCCTGCTGTCTCCTGTACTTTTTCTACTTGAACAGAGCCCCTGGTTCAGCCAGCAGGAACAACCTCCACTGTGTACCAGGGATCTCCACTGAACCAGCCACATTAAGAGTAAATGAACATGCACACAATGGAGAAAAAAAAAAAAAAAGATGTAAGAAAAAGAAAAGTCATCTAAATACAGTCTGTCATCTTCAAAATAGCTGCAAATCTATACATATGTTTTAATTACTTCATGAGACATGACAATGAAGTGATGAACTAAATGAAGGAATAGAACTAAAGTTGTCATAAGTGTCTGAAACTGCTTGGAAGAGCCTAGCAATACATCACGTTATGAATGAAAACAGAACCAGGAAATATGTGAAAAGTCAAATGAGAGATTTCAAAAATACACATCACTGAAGTATCAGCTGCCACTGTTTTACACTCCAACCAGTACGGAAAAAAAATAGCTGTGATAGATAGGATCATAAAAAGCCCTTAGTAAAATAGTTCTCATTGCATGGGGTATCCAGATTTATATATTTATTTATTCATATATCTATTTACGTGGAATCAGCCTGACAATAGAAAAGTACGTAGCAGTGTTTTGAGATAATGTGTACATGCTTGTGCAAGTTTGATATTCATGCAAAAATTATTAAATACAAATTTGCACCTGATTTCTCAATCATAAAATAAATAGAAGGCATCTGGCTATAGAATTCCTGTATCAGACATGACCCCACTTGACATCAGTTTTAAGGACATCTTCTTCACTACTCCCTTTTTAGATGGTAACTGAAGAGACTACATGGTGTTACAGATAATTGCTTTTCCAAATAACATAATGAAATTAATCTTTATTCCATAGGTGAGCTAAAAGAAAGAAACCTCAATGCTTATTGTAGTTAACCTCAACCACTTTTACCCTGAGTAGCACTGAAAGTTTTAAGAAGACTCTCTCTGTGTTTTAATTGAGTAATAATGATAAAGGAAACCTGTGTTAAGTAGAAATTACACTGACCCCTGCTAATGGGGGAGGAAGAAAAGGTGTGAAGCATTGGGCACATGTTGTGCTTCATTAAATAGAGAGAGGCCAACTTGACATCCTCTTACTGAAAAGAAATTTGTTCATTAGTTTATTCTAGAGTAAAAGTAACAGGGTCTGTAATCTCTGTGTCAGTGGGGAAGGTATTAGTTGTATATTTCCTTGTCATGCAGGTTTACTTTCCTACAACCATCATCCGATTGGCTCTTGGCAAATTATGGGTAACTGGATTATATGTTTGCTATTCTTGAGAGTAAATCCTGTATGTATTTATTAATGATATGTTTGTGGATTTTTTAATGGCAGTAGGCCATAAATTGTTTTCATTTGGATGGACAGTTATGATTAACAGACTTAAAGTTGCAATGTAGGTGTCTGGCTATTTTTTAATGAAAAACAGGTGACTTCTAATCTCATTTAAAACCACTTTGAGGGTGCCCATCCTTCTTATATATGCTAAAAGAGTTAATGAAGTGCCATCAGAGGAAAAACTGATTTAGAATAATTACTAAGTGAAAATAAGTTAAAACACAGGAACAGAACAGCTGACTTCTGTGGGTGGGTGACGAGTTGACTTTTCAATTCATGTCATTATTTCCCTGCAAAACACAGGCAATGGGAGAACTTTCTCCAAGTTAGCATAACAGATTGTGTAACCTCCAATTTACATGACTGATGTAATAATCTCTTGTATACCCCCAACCTTTGTGGAAGGCTACATTTAGAAGGCAAAGCCATTGCGTCTGTAGCAAAACTACTAGGCTTGTTTTTAACACCTTCCATTTTTATTTAACTGTTTACATTCTAAAAAAACCACCCAAGCACAAAACCCTAAAAATGCATTTTTTTTAACTCAGAGCTCTTTCATTTTAAAAAGATTGAGTCCAGATATACTGTACTTTGAAAAAATCAGTGACATATTTTTCCTGAATAACTCCCATTGAAATGAATTGAAAAATCACATGTGGGTTGAAAGTTTCATCTAGTCCTTTTCTATTCTGAATTTACACAGTAATTACAATGCCACATTATTTATATATATACACACATATATGTATATGTATTTTGCTTTGGCACCTGCATTTCAGATGGCTCTGCAGAGAGGGGCCATGTTTGAATGCCAGGCTCTGAAACGTAATGCTGTCCAAGAGGAAAGAAATGCTTGTCCTTCTTGGTACATCTTCACACATCCGTTGTGTTTGGTCTCTGCATCTGAGTACCCAGAAGCTGTGTCAGTGCTAGTAAAATGTTGAGACAAGCTTGCACAGAATATCCCACCCTCTATGCTATATATCCAATTCTCAAAAATCAACACGTTTTTTCCACATTACCTGTTGAGTATGTGTTGTCATCTAGTCACTGTGAATGCTGCCAGCACTGTTTATTAACCAGTGTAGTTATAACCCTAATGTCCAGGTCCAAGGGGGAGAAGTCACACTACAAAAACCTGAATTACTCTGTCCTCTGCAGTGCACCACCTCTCCATATTATCTCTAAGAATCTGGGAGTTTATCTTGTTCTCTGTGCTCTGGTAAACATATTTTTTCCCAGAAAATTGTGGGAGATCTTAGCTGTATTTCCAGGATGTGGTGAGAATTATGGAAATGGTGGGAAGATTTACTCCATGTTCTCACAGCACAAAACACAGTATAAATACCTGTGTCTAAGCTGAGTTAGCAGATGAAGTTTAAAATACTGTTGAGCTCAAGAAGGCTTTGTGTTTAGATTCACTAGAGGTTCAGCAATGCCTGAACAAAGCTCTGGGTAATCCAGAAGTGAAAACATCTCCTGTATCAGAGATCCTATGCTTTGCAGTAGGATTAAGAAGTAGTGTGGTGTGACCTCTCCAGGATAAGTCATATATCCACTTAGTTGTGAATCGCTGTAGATTTCTTGAATGGCTATCTACATTGAAGACTAGTGAATCCTTAAGTACATTATACTTTGGTATTGTGAGCATGTGCAATTGTCAGTTTGTGGACACAGTCAGTTGTGCACCACTGTTACAGCCACCTCTTCCCCAGCAGAACCCTTTCCAAGGCGTAAAAGGCCAATGTTTCTTGATGAAGGTGCCCCCTCTGCCACCCAGAATTTTATCCCTAATCTCTAAATCACTATTATTTTAGAGCACACTGTTCCTTTCCGTCCTTTCAGGTAATTAAATCACCCGTCAGTGTTCAGCGATATAAGAATAAATCTATACCTGAGCCAAAATGCCATTTTACCCACTCCCTTAAGGTAACAGAATAGCCTTCCTGTGACACTAACAAAAGCACTCATTACCTTTAACAAGAACTCTGAAAGTGAAGGGAAATGCACTGACTTCATGACTTCATCCAATTTTCTGGATCTAATACCAGACTTCAAGGTTTTCCTTAGAGAAAGGATGTAATACTGAATCCTTGTGCTTCACTCAAGTTGATAAAATCTTCAACTCTATTTCCTAGGCAGAAAAACTCTCAGGATCTTACCTGTCTCCGCCTGTTTACCCTAGTGAGATGCTGTTACACATCAGTTGCCAAACAAAATCGGTCTACTGGAACTTTGTTGGGCAGCCTTATCAAGGTGCAATATTTGAAAAATATATCTGAACAACATGTTCAAATTAAAAAATCAGGAGAGTTTTTTATTTTGTAGGCTACATGTGGATGCTGTTATGTTTCATTTCTCTACCCTGTCTAACTCCAACTAAAACAGTGATAAAATGCCAAAATAATTATTTTTATTTCTCTTTAATCTAGGACCTCTTGGATTTACATGGGTAAAACATTACTGCACTTACGATAAAGGAACAAAAACATTTACAATGAGTATAGCTGAAACAAAATCTGGTGGAAAAGTGGTGAGTTGCATATACATGAATGCATGCATGAACTGTATATTCCATCTTTTGTCTTAAGCATTCAGAAACTTAGAAGAATGAAATGTGGTGAACAAAACATAAGGCTGTTTCCATAGATGAATCTGTGCTTGTCTTATATAGCACAGATAAATGAAATATTTAAATAAAAATATTTCTTCTAAAACACATGGAAAACATATATTCAGTAATTTCTCTAATGTGGTTGTTCCAAATACATATGAAATCAATCGCATTTGCACAGAATCATAGAATGGATGAGGTTTGGAAGGGCGCTCTGAAGATCATCTAGTTTAATCGCAGTGCAGGGTCGACCATAGCAGGTTAGCAAAGACTTTGTCCAGTCAGGTTTTAGATGTCTCCAAGGATGGAGATGCCACAACCTCTGTGGGCAACATGTTTCAGCATTTGACTGCTGTAAAAATGCCCTTTTAAAGTTTAAATGAATTACCTGTATTTCAGTTTGTGTCCATTTCCTCTTGCCCTTTCACTGGGCACCACTGAGAAGAATCTGACTCAGTCTTCTTTACTTTTTTCCATCAGGTATTTATAGATACATCAGTGATATGATCCCCCTTCTCCAGGCTGAACAGTCCCAGTTCTCTCAGCCTCACCTCATATAACAGATGTTCTAAGTCCTTAATCACCTTGGTAGCCCTTAGCTGGACTTGCTCTAGTACATCACTGTCTCTCTTGTACTGGGGAGCCCAGCACTGGGCAAGCACCAGTGCTGAGCAGAGCATGAAAATCATCTGCCTTGACCTGCTGGCCACACTCTGCCTGATGTAGCCCAGGATGCTCTTGGCTGCCTTTGCTGCAAGGGCACAGTGGTGGCTCATGGTCAACTTTTGCCCACAAGGACGTGCAGGTCCTTTTCTGCCAAGCTGCTTTCCAACCTGTCAGCCCGAGCCTATCCTGGTGCCTGCAGTTAGTCCTGTTCATGTTAAACAGTTCTGGCCCCAGTATTGACACCTTGGTTACACCACTAGTGACTGGCTGCAGCTGGACTTCTGCTGTGAGCTCAGCAGTTCAGCCACTTTTCAGTCCACCTCAGCATCTGGTTATCTAGCCTGTACTTCACCAATTTGTGTATGAGGATGTAGTAGGAAACAGTAGGATGTAGTGTCAGAAGCCTGTCTAAAGTTATTCTTCCATCATCCACTGAGCCGTCCATCACATTGTACAGGGCTATTAAGTTGATCCTGCATTATTTTTCCCTCATTAAATCCATGTTGACTACTTCCAGTGACCTTTCTGTTCTTAATATGTTTGGAAATGCTTTCCAGGTTTATTCATTTCATCACCTTCCCAGGGATCAAAGGTGATGCAGACTGCCCTGTATTTTTCCATAGGACAAGAGGAAACAGCCTCAAGTTGTGCCAGGGAAGGTTTAGATTAGATATTAGGAAGAATTTCTTCACCAGAAGGGTTATCAGGCATTGGAACAGGCTGCCCAGGGAAGTGGTTGAGTCACCATCCCTGGAGGTATTTAAAAGACATATATATGTGCCACTCAGGTTTAGTGGTAGACTTGGTCATGTTAGCTTAATGGCTGTAATCAATGTAAAGGTCTTTTCCAACCTAAATGATTCTAGATCCTTCTCCTTGCTGTTCTTGAAGACAGGACTGACATTTGCTTTCTCCCATTCCTCAGAAACTCCCCTGACTGCATCAGCCTTTCCGACATTATAGTGGCCTCACAATGATGGTGGCCAGCACTAGGAGTTAGTCAGCTTTATTCTTTAGAAAACTTTTTATCTACGTGTAAGCGTTGACGTAATTACACGATATTCGTTCTAACGTGTAACATATATATGCAGATGTTTGTAAAGCTTTGCATTTAGGGAATTTTCTGAAATATAATTATTAAGTAACAAATATGTGACAGAAAGCTATTAACTGTAGTCTTACTTTATATCCAGAGAAATTATTGTATATGTTCCTAAATAATTTTAATCCCTATCTTAAGACCTGTTCTTTGGACTGTTCGTACAGTTAAATTTTAAGATGTGAAGCCAAGGTATATCAGCATACTGCCTGTGCTAATTTTGTTTTGTTTTATAGAATGGCCTTGTCACAAGCTCACCAGAAATATTCAAGCTAAAGTCTTGCATCAGGAGAAAGACGGATTCAATTGACAAACGTTTCTGTTTTGATATTGAAGTATTTGAGAGGTTTGGATTTTTTTCATTTTCATTTGATTATTGAAAATAATTAAAAATAGAAGCACTTGCAACCAATATATAATAATTATTCCTGTAGTAGGAACACATATTTCTCTGTATGCTTGTATCCAGAAAACTAGGCCTTCAAGACTTAGTAATGATTGCTTCAAACATGTTTTTCTAACAAAATTCACTACATTGCATATGCATTCTCTTAACTACATTAGGTCTGCATGCAGATGCAATTCCTGTAGCACCAACTGACTACCCCCTTTTAGGAACAGATCACAAATATCTTTATAAATATTTATTAATGAGCATATTCTATCCAATCTCTTATTTCTTTCAGAAACATATGAAAGCACATAATTTTTCATTTTTGAAAATTACTTCTACTTTTTATTTTTCACTTAGTCCTGGATATTATAATTATATTAAGTAGATGAAAACAGCTTTTCTGTATTTGATATATATATGTACACCATACTTTGTAAAAGTATTTTTTCAAGTTTGGGAATAAAGAGGAGTATTGAATTAATTTTTCCCTTAAAATATGATAAATAGACTGACTTTTGTAGTTGTTCTGTTAAGTATTTTATGATCTTGCTGTCATTTTAAATTTCATTCAGAACTGCTGTATTTATGTGATAATTTTGAGGCTACTTTGGTACTTTTAAATATAATACAGTATTTTTCTAAAATAGATTTCTGAGTGAGTTCAAATTAAAGAAATAGAAATTCCATATGAACAAATGTTGAAACTAACTGGTCTCTTGAAAGCTCCTAAGCTTGAGTTGACAAGTTGAGTTTGAAATCGGTAGTTCTTCCTTTCTAAATAGATTTGCATTTATTAGACATACCTGTGGCAGTACCATTGTAATGTATTCACAGGTGATCTTGTCTCTTCTATCTCCCTTACCCTATTAGAACATCAACAGTTCAACAAAACTGCAGAGAAAAATTATTTCCATCTGCAGTTCTTCCAATTTCTCATCAAAGTGATAGAGGCACTTTCTACATATTATTTATTCCTTTTGGTAATTTTGATTGATTACAAATGTTCATGGCCTATAATTTAAAGGCATTCTGGAAACTTGGAAGAAGATTGAAAGGAGAGTGGAATACAAAGTTATGTGGTCATTACTGTAAGGATCTAACTTTAACTGTCTGATAGAAAGTTTACTTTTCCAATTGATTTGGTATTCAGCAGGGAAGTAGTGAATTTTTTTACAAGCCAGAAGAGGAGATAGACAATTAAATACCTATAAATATTTGGTGGGAGTTCATATACAAGAGAACAATAATATCTTCTGAATGTTGTGTGGTAAAACTTAGGTTTCCCCTAAGAAAGAGAAAATGCAGCGACTGTTACTGATGTCAGTCATGACTTAAGAATGTTAGCAAGTTCCTAAAGATATAAACACAGTACTGGAATACTGAGTATTCAGAAAGACTGTGATAATGATTACATTTGAACTGATTTTAAATTCAAGACAATATTGTTTGGTTGGAGTATAGTGTTGGCCATCACCTGAAAAATACAGAACAACTTTTAAAGTAATTGAGATTAGTTAAATATAAATTTCCTTAGTAAGTTGAGGTTATGATTTTCATCATGAAAGAAAGAGTTCTTTTTAAAAATGTGCTGCTACACCAGCCTTCAAAATTCTGTTGCAAGATTTTATGGGTAACTTCTGTCTTCAAACACCTTATCCCACAGAGCTATTTCTCTCCTTACATTATTATATACAACATTGTGTAAAATGTTATATGAAATGTTACTTTATTAAAACGTTGGAAAATGTGCAAACTGATGTGCATATCTCACTTCATGAGAGAACCATGCTAACTAAAAGAAACCCTTGTAGAACAACTAATGGAGAGCACGCAGTGTGAGCTCTTCTAATTGACATAATTAATTTAAAATTTAACGAGGTGTTTTTCACACCTACATTCAGCTCAGACTTCTTGTAAAAATGTTCTAGAGGTTACACCATCTTATTTGTACTGGAGTTCTATGAAAAGGTAACATCAAGAACTGTGGTTCACTTTGAATGTAATTTTAATTTCTGAGAAATTACCAACTATTTCAGTAACTAGAAAGGAAGTTAGTTCAAAATGTACTGGAGCTGGTTTGGGCTATTACTTTTTTTTTGAGAAAACTAATATACGGGGATTATAGTGTTATATATTTGAGTGTTAAAACATGCTATGCAATAATTGCAACCTTGGCCAACAGATTAAATCATAAACCCAGGGCTAAAAGCAGGTATATCTAAGCTCAAAGTAAAATGACACTCAGAAATTTCTGTTATTTCTGTAAATGCTTACCAAGAGACTACAAGTATAAATGCAATTCTCCAACTGAAATATTAAGCAGCAGTCACAATAGAAAGAATAACAACAACAAAAAAAATGTTTCTATTTCTAAAATGTTTTTTGAGGGAAAGATTCCTTATTAAGAATCTGTGTGTAGGACCAAGATGGAATATTAAAAAATAAATTAATCTAGACTTTAAGAAAATAGAAAAACAATTCTACATCTTAATCTGGATTAACTGTATTTTTTTACACTTGTGATAGTAGATAGCAAACAAAATACTCATCTTGGCATTTTTATGTGTAAGGGAAGGGCTTGTTCCTTCTTGAATGGTTTGGTGTATGTGTGTGAACACACATTTTGATATTTTATATTGTTCAGTTACTTTCTTGCATGGTTTTAAATACAAGGTGAAAATGTAGGTCTTTTGGAGGAGCTGAGAAAGATGGTGGGTTTTTGATTATTTTTATGGTGGACAATTAATACCTAGTAAAAAACGATAGTTTCCTTTATTTGTGAACCTACCATAGAAAAAAAAATACAGTTTCCGACAGTCTGCTGAACATCTTGAGCAGAGATACACTACACTGGTGTGCGAGCAGTATTTTTTAAAATGGACTGTCTCATGGGCATTCTATGTTGGTAAATCAGTGAGTTAATTTCAACGCATTTCTTGAAGAACTCATTTGCTGCTGATCATAAATAGCGACTAATTCTTTGTATTTACACATCTGTTTATATAATCAGTCCAGGAACAAAGATCGAAATTTTTTCTGTCACCTCTTCACTGGTTTCCTTGACTTTTTCTATGCAATGTCAAAGCTTCAGTAACAGAAGATATGCCATTTCTTTAACTTCTAACATAGCGGTTAGGTCACAGTCAGCAGAAGGAACTGTTTTTTTAAATCCTCTCAAATAAAAAAATCCTGATACTTGGCTCAGTTGGCGTTACATCTCCACACATGAGATACTGTCTCAGAGCTCTCTTTTTTGATAACGGTTTTATGGCACGTTTCGTTTGACCAACTTTGGATGTCTATTTTAGGATATGATGTCTTTTAGATTAAAAATACCTACTTCTCTTCATTTGTTATGAAAGGAACATAGGTAACCAGCTCAGGCATAGACATATTTAGTCAAATTGAGCTGATGTATCGTGCCCTTAAGTTTTCTACCCTGAGCATTTCCCTATTGAAAAGTGGGTTGTATGGGATCCTGTTTGCAGATGTATAACTCATCTTGCAGTACGGAGGTGCCTAATGCTTATTAGAGCCTTGTAGCACTTAGGACTGGGCATCTAAAATTATGTGTTGTAGCACCTAACTTTTAAAAAACAGACTTGTTTTTAAATGTAGCTCAAAATAATGATGATGATGATGATGATGATGATGATGATGATGTCAGAAACTATCAACTTTCTTTAACTTCTCTCTGTCTTTTATGTATTCACTTCATGTCAACATGCATTTGGATTCTGAATTTGGATACTCTTTGAGAAAAATAATAACTTCAGTTTATATGTATGTTTTTGACAGACCTGGAATCATCACACTGCAAGCTTTTTCAGAATCCAACAGAAAACTTTGGCTCGAAGCTATGGATGGAAAGGAACCAGTAAGGATATTTTTTCATTTTCTTTTCTTTTTACAGTTTTATGGCACACATATTAAAGAAATAAGCTAATATACATTTCAGATACTGTTACAGTACAAAACCAAAACAAAAGTTCTGTTCTTTGTGAGACACTATCACAAGTAGACAGTGAAGATAGGTACAAAGTAGAAAGACAGAACTATTAGTGAATTTAAGCCTTTATCCATATATTAGTATTTTATGTTAGGATATCTAATGTTTAAGTAATATGATAACATGTTGTCTAATAAGATTAATGGTTCAGATACCATTTGTGATGTAGTAGTTTCTTCACTGGTAAAGACAAACTGTCTTTTGGGCAGCATCATGGACTAAACAGCACCATCTTGAAAGCACTGCAGAGAGCATAAAAAATGTGTTGAAAGCTACTAAGAGACAGTGTTGTCTGAGATTTCTTCCCACTATTAATGTGCTCTTAAAATAGTCACTGAATGAAAGTGATGCTCAACCTGTATTCAGGGGGAAAAAAATAGTTTTATGAGATAGATGAGTGTTTTTACAAGCTTCTTACTTGACTGAAACAGTACAGAAATTAGATCAATAGATTAGATCTGACTTCTGACACATCTTAGATATCTGTCCTAGCACAGGGCTGTTAACCTGGGTGAGTACGGTGGGGGTAAATGTCAAGAAAAGGTGAAAGGCAAAGCTGGCTTTCCCTTAGCAGCAAGCTAATGCACAGCATGTTGCAACTACCAACAAACCTGTCAATAAAGAATTTAAAGCACAAACATTGAGCTGTTGTGGGTTTTGGTTTTTTTCCTTTACAGATCTACACGCTGCCAGCCATTATTAGCAAGAAGGAGGAAAGTAAGCACTTTATTTATGTAGAGTTACCAAATATTGCTAGATTTCTTTAATGTTTATATATGTGTGTGTGTGTGTGTGTGACAGTATTTTACATTTTCTTTCTATCACTGTGAAATAATTGTTTGTTGGGTTACACAAGAGCACATCCTAAGCTATGTAAACGGAGAAAGCCTTCAACTTCTGTATTACTATCAAACATAAATTGGAAGAAAATTTGATTGGCTCCAAAGATACCATATATTTAACAAATCTGTAAAAAGTTTCTGTCAGTAGTCTGTACACCTAAATGTAAATACTTTCCAGTGTGTTGAAATAACATCCCTATATAGAATCACAGAATCCTTTACATTGGAAAAGACTTTTAACATCATTAAGTCCAACTGTATACCTAACACTCTCAAACCCACCACTAAACCACCTCCCTAGGTGCCACATCTACACATCTTTTAAATACCTTCAGGGATGGTGACTCAACCACTTCCCTGGGCAGCCTGTTCCAATGCCTGATAACCCTTCTGGTGACGAAATTCTTCCTCATATCCAATCTAAACCTCCCCTGGTACAACTGAAGGCCATTTCCTCTTGTCCTGTCACTTACTGCTTGGGAGAAGAGACTAACACTCACCTGGCTACAACCTCCTTTCAGGTAGTTGTAGAGGGCAATAAGGTCTCTTCCAGCCTTCTTTTCTCCAGGTTAAATAACCCAGGTTTCCTCAGCCACTCTTCATAAGACTTGTGCTCTAGACCTTTCACCAGCTTCATTGCCCTTCTCTGGACATGTTCCAGCCCCTCATTGTCCTCCTTGTAGTGAGGAGCCCAAAGCTGAACACAGATGTGCAGACACACCAGTGCCTTCCCTAGTCCTGCTGGCCATGCTATTGCTGACACAAACCAGGATGCTGTTGGCCTTCTTGGCTACCTGGGCACACTGCTGGCTCATATTCAGCTCACTGTCGACGAACACCACCAGGTCCTTCCCTGCCAGGCAGCTTTCCAGCCATGCTTCCCCAAGCCTGTAGTGTTGAATGGAGTTGTTGTGACCTGAGTGCAGGACCTAGCACTGACCCTTGTTGAATCTCATACAACTGGCCTCAACCCATCACATGTTTTTGATTTTATGTGTGTATGCACCTATTACACATATACTGAGTATAAAATGAGTGTATTTAAAGATACTATGAGATTTATGTGTATAATTGTATTAACATTATAGTAACGCATATATGTTATTAACATATAAACACAAATACATTAAAATAATTTAAATATATCTGTGGGTGTATGTATCTCAGAGAGAGAGAGAGAGATGTGTCAGACATGGACTTACATCTTCATAGGAGATGTATGTAAGACTCTGGAAATCTAAAATTTAAGCTGCTACGTCTGTTTTTTATATGATGGTGTTTATTTTAATCATGACAAATATGCTTTAAAATCTTCTTTATTTAGCTAGTGAGAACAGTGAACATTGAAGATACAAAAATTAATGAGAACTAGTCTCTCTTGAAATAAGCGCACTAACTGAACTCAGTAACAAAGTTTGTTTTGCTATGTTACCATTTTATGAAAGGTTATGTGCATGTGTAAGGGCCAGTGAATGTTGTATTAAAAACAGCAAATCTGTTCATAATGTAAGTCCTGAACTCATAAAAGCATTTTCCTCGGTAGAGGAAAGGGAGCACAGTAATCTCCTTTTAAAGCAACAAGCTTTCAGATGTATGTGTAGAGGGGCTACTGATTTCTGAGCAAGGCAGTAGAATATTCTGCTCCTAATGATACACTAATGATTAGAAAGCTGGATGTTGAGTGCTAAGGATTTGTTCACAAGACTACTATTACAGAATAAGTATGATAATCTCATGGATAAATGTGTGTCAGTCCTTCTTGACTAACATGTAGCTAACCATGGAGATTTTCTCTGTTGAGTTAGAAAATAATTACTTTTTTTTCCTCTTTTTATAGTGTTCTTAAATGAAGCAGGTTTCAACTTTGTGAGGAAATGTATTCATGCTGTAGAAACAAGGGGTGTGTATTAAATCACAAATTATGTATTAGATTATTATAAGTATTTTTTCTCAAATGTTACTTTGATTAATTCTACATGTTTTGCAGCGATACTTTGGAGTGTGTCCATCATTTGGTTTGTACTTTTCACATTTTATCTGTGTGTTTGACACATAAAACTATTGCCCCAAGTTCCAACAACAGTTCCTAACATATCATTTAAGTAGGATTTTTAAACATTTTCTGCTGCTTAGACACCTAATACACAGTTGCACTCATCTTTAGTCTTCAATTTGTATGCACCAAATTGTGCTTTCTCTTTGTAAAACTGTAGGGAGCCTCAGTTTCCAACTTTGGTTTCTGGTGCAAAATCTGAAGACTAAAACTACTCTCTGCTGGAACATCTTTTTGCAGAGCATTACTCCTATCATTTTGTTCACTTATTTTACACATGGTTTATCCATTTTTTTTAGATATTCAGTAACTCATTTTTGGTAGTGGGAATGTACAGAAAGACAATAGTAATCACTCTATTAATGAGGTGATATCTTGCAACTCACAGCAAGTTTTTAATTATCCTCTTACAAATCAAGCAGTTTGGCTTTATCGTTTTCCATAAAAAGAGGTAACCATTTCCTGCCCATGCACTGAACTGTTGGTATGCTCTTCTAAATCAAAAGCTGTGTGATCTGTCTGTGCAATGTTAAGTAGCTTTTGAATCACTGCAGACTCAGAGCTTGTATTTTTTTTTTCTGGGGAAAGATAAAAGGGTTTCAAAACAAAACACCTAGGTTATCTAAGTGTTATGCTGTTTTCAAAAACAAAAAGTGAATAATTTTTAAATGGTAAGATCTGAAGTAGGGAGAAGGGAAGACTTTTAAATCCTGCTGATTTTAAAAGGCAGTTAAAAACGGTAAAATTATCATCACTTGAATACTGAAATACTGTGTTGTGAATGTCACTCTAAATTATTTGCTATTAGTATCTGTGCTATTAAAAAAAAAAAAAAAATCAAACATTTGAAATTTATGAGTAAACTGGGACTTGACTGCCTCCCATTTATTTGCATGGGGATCCATGCATAACATAAAAACTCAACAGTATACAGTATATGTATATGTTTCTGAGTACAATCATTTCTCCTGTCAATGTCAATTAAATCTTAATTGGAAGGATAATGGTCTAAGAAAATATAGACATGGTAATTCTACTGAAATCTAGATAAGTTAAACTCGTGGATGTGTAATGTGTTTTAAGACTGCTTTTGGGTCTTATTTTTCATTCCTTGTTTGCTAATGCAAGTCATTTCTATGCAGAAGGATTCTGTTAATGTAAAACTATGATTAGTATATAGTATGATATGGATTCAGTGGAATGCATTTGTTAACACCCCAGAGGAGAATTCAGTAGGGTAAAGCAGTACTTAAGAATGTAATTGTACAGTTTTCCATAAATACATTTAGTTGGCTTGAAAACATACACCAAGGATGCATCAGCATATATTGAAATAACCATATTTTCATTATTTTCATTCTACTTGTTTTCACCGATGTAGGTATTACAATCCTGGGGCTGTACAGAATAGGTGGTGTAAACTCCAAGGTGCAAAAGCTGATGAATACCATATTTTGTAAGTATCTGAAGTGAACCTTTGTCTGTGTGCAGTGTATGTGGTCTGCTCCCTTTTCCCTTAACTGCTGTGCTCAGAAGAGTGTGTCATACACTTTTGTATATGCACTTACTGCCACTAAATTGAGTTTGCCATCTTAAAATAAGTGATCCATCTAACTAGCTTCTTGTGTGTGTTAGTATTCAGTTGCTGCATGTAGTCATTTATAGACATGAGCAAATTACTGATAAAATGCTTTTCTTCTTTTAGCTTTGAAGTTCTATCTATTGGTGTCTATTTGGTGTATTTCAGAAGCGTTCCAAAGCTTAGTTCTGTAACACAGCATAACTCAATTTAACAGACAGTTGTTCTAGACTTTCACTTTTCTTTTCAATTTGGTGCTCTACTGCCTGTGTTTGAATGTCTAAGCCATATACATTAGTAATTCTCTGTTGCCTTGGGCACTTTGGTATAGTGCGTATACTTAATGTTTACATGTACTAAATATGAGTGCTAAATTATTTTTTATTAAGATTTTGACAGAGATTAAAAGATTCAAATTTATCAGATTGGTAGTGAAACTGGCTAATAAGTAAGCACATAAGCGAAATGACTAATCTGTTAGCTTCTGGTTTGCTGCTTTCCTAGTTAGTGTGTTAGTCAAACTATAACACAATCATAATTCAAATTTCTACCAGCCCCTAAATCTCCTCCTGATATGGATATTGATATGGAACTTTGGGACAATAAAACAATAACAAGTGGACTAAAAAACTACCTCAGGTAAGTATGATGCTACACAATCTCAGTATTCCTTTTCTGGCCCATCAATCTTTTCCTTATTAATATTACATTTCTTGTATCCATTAGCATGGTAATAATTGAGTATATTATTATCTTACCTAATATCTCTGTGATTATGTGTAATAATAAATCTAAAATTTGTTATATAGTTTCTGCCTTATTAAGATAGTCATGCCTTATATAGCCCTAAATTGGTCAGAGTTTAATTAATTGCATGTTTTTATTTAAAATTTTTTGTGTTAACCCCAAACCATGTTGTGCTCAGTCTTTTTTTTCTGAATCCTTTAAGATGTGTGCCATCAGGTTTCATGGCATCATTGCTGGAGCAGAATAAAAATCTCTGCAAAAGCATAGGGTTTTATCCTGTGCTGTTGGTGTCTTCACAAACACAATATCCCTCCCAGACTATCTTTTTCTCTTAAAGTTTTTGCTAATAAGAGACAGAATTATCAAGAATTATGGTACTTCCAAGAGAACTCTTTTTTGGGTCTCAGTATATAACATTGAAAAGTAATGTAGTAAAAAGCATCAAATGCAGATGGTGGGTGCTCTATTCCTTCTAAAAATCTAGACTTCCGAAATTGGTCACCCAACAAAAGGCAGCATCAGAAATCCCTATTCACTCTAGAAAATATGCCTAGGAATTATAGTGGAATGCCCATGTACACTTAATGAAAATACTGGCTTTGGTTGAAAAAATTTAGAGTACATCTTCAGAAGCACAAATTATTGTAGATACTGTGTTTGTGAAATTAGAACGTGAGCTAGCAGTAGCTGTGTATTTGTGTTTATAAGGTGATTCACAGTCTGCCTTTCAGAGGATGACTCTTCTAGGATCTTTCAGATCAGAATTTCTATCTGAAATTTCATCATGTTTTTGCTGTTCTTGGGCAAAAGATCGCTTCTGCAGCCCACTGTACCATGTTCTGCAGCTGTATTTATTGCTGTTCTACACTATGGAAGACAGAAAACACTGGGTCTCTGTACTGAAGTCAGTGCTGGTAATATTTTCCTTAATAACTTAAATGGTGACACCAGACTGAACTCAAAAAAGATTTTCAGACTATGTACATGACTGAGTTGCATACTATTTGTCATTAGTCATCTGTGAATTTTGTTTCCTAGGACATACCTAGTAGACGTTGAGGGCTATCATAATCACAACCATAAAATCTAAAAAGACTTTGAGTAATGCATTTCTTTAAATTTTCTTTTAATATTTTTTTACAACCAGGTGTCTTTCAGAACCACTGATGACTTTCAAGCTGCACAAAGATTTCATTGTTGCTGTTAGTAAGTAAAGTAATAAATATACTTCTATGAAAGTGATATTGTTTCTAACCATTAATGTCATCAGTTACTATCCTTACTTTTCTCCTTGGTCTGTTATTCAGTGATCCAGCCATGGATCTGAGTTCTTCCATGTCACTGTATGTGACAGCACAGTGCCACATGAAAGCCCTGAAAACAGAGACATCACACTAGATGAAGCTGTTCAGTGGTTTGTTCTGATCTTTTTAGAGGTTCTGTGTGACTGCCTTGTGCATGAAATTTTGAACCTTGATTTATATGTTTGTTTGTTTTACATGGGTTGATAATTTGTTTATAGCATTCATCCCTCTCATCCAGAGATCTTTATTTTCCCAGCTTGACTTGAGAAATTGGAGGGTGTGATAATTGTCTTCTTTTCACAAATGGAGTAATTAGACACAGAGATAGTAAGATTGTTTTCTAGCAACTCCAGTTTAGAATTTGAAATAATTTCCCCATTTCTTCTTGCCTTGATAAGAATAAAAGACAGTCAAAAAATTTAGATATTTTAAATATTACGGAGAAGATTCTTGGATTACACTGAAGTGGCACATCAGGTCAACATTGCCACTAATTTTGTTATTTCCAGTATCAGTGGTAACCACTTTTGGTGAGTCACTTGAAATACAGATTTCAGAATGTTATAATAAGTATAATCGAATTGTCCTCATCATTTTAAAGGCTAATTGTGTTTGGCATGTGTGTATTAGTGTGCAGGCATTGGTGTCATTTGTGTCACATCTTAGCACATGTTCTAATTTATCAACAATATTTGTTTTCTGTTTAATAGAGTCAGATGATCAGAACTACAGAGTTGAGGCAGTGCATGCACTTGTGCATAAGTTACCAGAAAAGAACAGAGAGATGCTGGACATCCTTATCAAGCACTTGGTCAAGTAATTATTTTTTATTTTTCTCTTTGGTGTTATTGTAAGATGTGATTATGCCTGCTTTAAATTTGTCAGTGTTGCTTAATCCATTCTCTGTGTTGAAACGATGTCGCTTGAAATCACATTTAATTTCTAAAATGCTGCTCTCAACATAGCTGAATACTCACAATAGAAACAAAATTAAAAATAACACCATAAAGAGTCACCAGGATGAACAACTAAGTTTATAAAATAAAACCATTCAATGTTTTCATTCATGTACCTACTTACTACAGGAATCATCACTAATTAAATTTAAGAAGCATCTAAAACTGTGCTAATGTTGATAGAAAATGCTGTTTTGAATCTGACTCGAGGCCCTACACTGTTTCAGAAATTGACAGTGTACTAATGTAATAATACTTATCCTTCATGTTTGATCTTATTTTTCTAACAACTCTGAAGTGTAGTATCATTTGAAAACACTAATTTGAAGTATTATTTACATTTTTATATCTATGTAAATTTCCAAACCCACTTTTGAATCTCCATTGTTTCATGAGCCTCTCTGTGCATTAATGTCAGATACAAAATATTTTTCATTTATTTGAACTGGTGACCTTTTGTCTTCACTGAATTACACTTAGCATGTGTTGTGAGACAAGAATGTTTTTATTCTCTTATGTCTCTCTATATTACTAGCTATGATTCCATACCATTATGACATTATAATTTATCCTGTTTATGCATCAAACATTATTCATGTAAGTTTTAGTACATCTTTGATCAGTTTTCACTGGTATTTGCTGAATACTTTTTAATATGTATTATTCTTTCTGATTTAGTGTGCTGTATACTTTTTAGTACATTTAGCAATTGTTATAGTTGAATTAAAGTTACTAGTCTGAAATAAATTCACTAAATATTTATTAAGGTAGGAAAGCAAAAACAGCATGCTGGGCGGCCGGGGAGTCACAGCAATGATCTGGGAATGTGAATACTGAAACAGCAGTTGTTCAGATAAAGCCCACATGACTGAGATATGTAGAAGACGTAAGAGAGAAGTCCATATTGTTTTAATTCCATCCATTACATCCCAGCTATTTTGCTCTTTTTTATCACAGCTTGATCCACACGCTACAGTAAGGTGTCTACAGTGGAGCTTAAAGCAGTTTAGCTGCTTCTTACAGATGTGAGAACTACAGATGTGAGAAATTTCTTTGATAGGAAATTATTTAAGTTAATAAATTATTTTTAGCCCTTTATGTCATAGCCCTTGGAGAGAACTAACGTGATAGCAAGCTGCTGTGAATGCTCCCATTGCAAAAACTGATTCGGCAGGCCTTGCATCTCATTATACATGGGGTGGGTGACCCCGAGAAACAGATGAAAGCAAGTTTCATAAGTTTCCCTACTCTGAGAGTTGTTTGATGAGCTAAAAAATATGCCTATTGCTTTCTAACCCTCTAAAACATTTAAAATGTTAATTTTACTTAATAACTAAAAACTGTTAGTCTGGAAGCCCCAAAACTAAAAACTTGCATGCATAGGAACTGACTGACTTGTACATAGAATTAGTTACAGGCAGGCATTTCTTTCTTGATCTCTTTTCCTGGCCTCTTTATTATCAATGTGACCTCAGATGCATTTCCAAAGAAAAGCATGCTTGTAGTATTCCCTTCTTTAACTGTTCTCTTTAAATCTTGCCTATCTCATCTTTGAAGTGATTCTCATTTACAGTACTTGTAATCTTATGGCTTTATACTGAAAACCTTCAGTTCTTTTCTTTCCAGCATTCAATTCAGCACTTCTAATTTCTCATACAATTTGCCAGCTGTTTTTTATGCTAGCAGTTCTAATGAGATTGAATTCAAAATCAGTCTCTTAAGTGTATTAGTTACCTTTTTTCCCCATCTTTTTCCCTCCGTGTAGAGATTTTTCAATCAAATGGCAAATAAAGTGCCTATTTTTATGAAAATGGGAAAATATGAAAAAAAATCCCAACCTCCTGCTTCTTCATTGTTTCATTTAAAATCCAATTTCAAAACATACATCCTTTACCTATATTTCTTTTAGCTGTTCAGTTGTTTTATGTATGCTTTTGTGTCTAGGTGAAAAGTACTATACCTTTAGCTATGGGTTGTAAAATAAGGATAATATTATTTTTTCTTGGTTTAGGTCTTAAGGTCTTTATGTCTCTCTCTACCTTGACTTTTGTGTCACTGTGCAAAATTGAGTATGATCTAGATATTGTGGGATGTAGATCATACTGAATACAAATAAACAAAACCAGCAAATCCTGAAAAGTACCTTACAGAGAGGTGATACTGCATGAGTATATACTAAGTGTGCAGTTAGACAGACACGGGAAATCACATAGGTAACTCATTTTTTGTTTTTAAACCTTCGTAGTTGTCATGGTTTGAGCCTAGAGGGCACCTGCTCCCTCACTCCTTCCTCTTTGGGGATGGAAAGGAGAAAGTAAAACAGGAGGGTTGGGAATTGAGACAAGGAGGGATAATTCATGCATTATGGTCATGGGCAAAAGACAGACTAATTGGGAAAAAAAAAGAACATAAATTTAATTGAAACACCACCACCACCACCTAGTTTTCCAATAAAACAGAATAAGACAGTGAGAAATACAACCATGTTCTTAAAAACACCTTGCCCCCACCCCTTCCTTCTTCCTGGGCTCAGCTTTACTCCCGATTTCTCTCCCTCCTCCCCCTCAGCAGTGCAGGGGGAGGGGGAATAGGGGTTGCAGTCACTTCATCACCCACTGTCTTTGCTGCTCCTTCCTCCTCAGGAGGACTCCTCACACTCTGCCCCTGATTTGGTGTGGGGTCCCTCCCACAGGAGACAGCCCTCCATGAACTTCTCTGACATGAGTCCTTCCCATGAGCTGCAGCTCATCACAAACTGCTCTGGTGTGGGTCCCTCCCACGGGCTGCAGTCCTCTCAGTGAGGACTTCCCTCAGAGTTGAGGCCTTCTTTGTGCACAGCCACCTGCTCCAGCATGGCATCCTCCATGGGCTGCAGGTGGGCATCTGCTCCACCAGTGACCTCCATGTGCTGCAGGGGCACAGCCTGCCCTCCCACCACGGGCTGCAGGGGAGTCTCTGCTCCAGCACACCTCCCCCTCTTCCTCCTCCTTTTTACCACTACCTCAGTGTTTCAATAGGTATCCCCATCACAACTCCTTCTCTCAAGTCCCTTAGATGTGTTATCACAGAGGTGCAGCCACCATCGCTAGTTGTCTCCACCTTGGCCAGAGGCAGGTACAACCTGGGGGAGCTTCAAGAATCTTCTCACAGGAACCACTGCTGTAGCCCCTCCCCTGCTACCAAAACCCCACCACGCACACACAAACCCAACACACTAGTCAGATTCCTGTCTAAAGAAAAAATTGACTTTGGTATAGTTTAATAACACCATCATTTTCTAAGGTAGATAGTTGGGAGTCTGCAATCTGGCATTATCAAAAATTTACTGGTGATATATCAAAGAAAGAGATTTAGAGGAGAAAGCAACTTTACCTTAATGAATGCCTTACAGCTACCTGAAATACATGATTACTTTGGCCTGTATCTATTCAGTAGCCCAGCAACAGTAGGACTAGGTCAGGGGAAATTGGCTATCAAAATGATTCATTTATATGCCTGGGGTTTTTCTCTTTTGCAAGAAATTGAGCCTTTGAAATGCTTCATAGAAAGTCCTTTCTGGTTGCAGTGTTATTAAATTCACCATTCCATTTATTAACCAAGCTACCAAATTTGTAACCAAGGAAACCCAAATACAGGACAAAGACTACTTTCTCTCTTATGCTAGAAGACTATAATGTTTGTGTAAGAGACCTTAACAGTTACTGTGTAGCACAGAGTATCGTTGCAAAGGGTTATTTATTTTAGATTTTTCTAACAAGTCTAGAGCTGAATAATTCAAAATTCCTTTTTCATTAAAATGCTACTGTAGTTCCCAAACACCCCTTAGTCACCCAAGGCAAACATCCATTACAGAGAAAATTAGATTAAGATAGTTGGCTAAATGGGCTTTAACCAGGTAGTCATTTTCATCATATGGATTACAAATAACAATCTCTACCAGTGTGTCTGAAGTAAAATTTTGGAAAGTTTCTTTGGCACAACTTAGTGAAACAACATAGGAAACATGTAAAAAGATAGGCATTGATTTTCCTGCAGTTTATTATCATATTGTCTCCAATACAAACCCCTTTCCCATACTTCTCCTTCTCAATGTAAATGGGGTGCTAAAATGTTCCTGCTCCAAATACGAGGGGAGTATTACTTCATGATAGAATTAATTGTACAGTCTATCTCACTTTTATTCCAAGATAATTCTATTCTTCTTCTCATTCTGTGTATCATTAGTGCCTATTCAGCAGTGATAACTGAGAGAAAGGGTAATGTGTGAGTCCAGACAAGGGTTTGATCCTGATCCTAACAAAATCTCCCAGCTGCCTTTGTCACTGGCTTTCTAACCTTTGTAAGGGGATAATATTTGTGTTATTTGCTATGAAACTCTGACATTTTATAGGTCATTTTGCTAATGTTTGTATAACACGTTAAGAACAAATCAAGCTATCTAAGAATATTATTTGAAGGAAAACATAGCAGATGTCTCCATAAACCTGATTAATGAAGGCTGTCAGAGAAAATCAAAAGATAAAGTTTGATCCTATCTGCTAGTCTTCCAGTATTTTATAGATTTTACTGTTTCTTAATTTAAAAAGGTACAAGAGTTATTTCAATTATGTAGGAAATGGCTAAAAAGGCTCAGCTTCTCAAGACAGCAGTGAGAAGGAAGAAGAAAATGTGATCAAATGCCTCAATAACTGATTCTGTTTGTTAGCAGATCCAGTAAAATTAAGCATTAAGGCAATTATAGAAACTTTACTTGGCATATTCTCAAACAGGAGGCAATAGGGAAGCTGTGGCTGGGGGATCACTGGCAGTTATTTTGAAGGATTAATGATGGTATGGTTTTTATTTGGCAAATCTTATAAGGAGAGAAAATAGGCATTGAGAATTACTGATTGATGGTTTTCATTTTACTATCTGGTAAATGGGAAGAATTAAGTTTCTGAATTCTACATTAAGAAAAATGACAGAAAATGTACAGTAAGTGATAACAGATTATACAGAAGTAAAAGGTTAATATACTTTAAAGATAGAAGGTGTCATTATGGTCATCTAGAGGTATCTATACCACAGAAACAATGATTTCACTGACCCCAGTGATCCCGTGTTTTCAACATCCTAAAAAAGAGATTCTGTTGCCATTTTTTTCAGTAACTAAGCTTCTTTCCTTTACATGAAAGCTAAGGTATATGGTTGACCTCTGTTATCACATAATATTTTCAGTCAATCCAACATCAAGTATTTAAGTTCCTTTATAATCATTGGAGAGAGATAGGTGCCTAACTTAAGATTCTGAAGCATTAGATGGTCTGGATCTCTCTGTGGAGGCCTTCAAAAATAGTTGCTTTTCCTTGTCAATTATGTCAGGAACTTAAATACTTGCTCTAGGAAGATGTGCTCATTATCCATTAAATTACTGCAGGATGGAAGCCTTAATGGAAATATAGTAGTTGTACTATACTATATTTTGACTGTAGTAAAAGGAAATTTTAAAAAATGTTTTTAAAGGGGAGGCATGAACTTGGGATCTTGTTAAAGAAGTAGACTTAACAGGCTTTTGCCTGTTGGAATTGTAGTTTAGCACAACAATTTAATTGCATATTGTTTGTGTTCATTTAAAGGGTATCTTTACACAGTCAGCAAAATCTAATGACTGTATCCAACCTTGGTGTTATCTTTGGACCAACTCTGATGAGAGCCCAAGAAGAAACCGTGGCTGCTATGATGAACATTAAGTTTCAGAATATCGTCGTTGAAATTCTGATAGAGCATTATGAAAAGGTAGAAAGACATTATCTGACTGTTTTGTGATGAAGTGGAACTAAGATTTCATTTTCATTGCCATCATTAAGTTCTTAAGAATAAGAAATCCAGCATTTATAAGAGGGTCATTGATGGAAAATATACCTTCTTCCCACTCCATGCTATGTATCTGTATTCCTAGCAAGTCATTTGTGGCTGTGCAAGGTACAAATCCAAGGCATAACCTCCTGTGCTTTGAAGGAGTTCCTCTGAATCTTCAGTTGCTTTCTGAAGATTGCTGTCTGGAAACACAATGAGAAGGTCATAACTTTGCTCCCAGCTTCTCCATCTCTCATGCTAGCCTTGTATGAAGGTTCACTCTGGATAAATGCGTAGATTCTCCTCTGAGTGTATCAGGTCAGAGACTTTCTGGCCATTGCTGTCCTTTGGGGATATGTCAGCTGCACAGTGGAGACCTAGTCTCTTCTGATATCATGAAACCCTAATCATCCTTCAGTTCCTCTTTTCATGAGCAGCATCAACGTGGATCCCTAACAGAATCCCCCATTTCTGTGCAGTGTGTAATTTTTCGTTTTAGATGCTAGATGAAAAGTAAAAAATCAAAAGTAAAAAATAATGTATTTTAGATGAGGTTTTATTCCTAGTTACAGGTTTAAAGCCCAGCATATCTTTGTGATTTAAAAGTTCTTGAATACTCTGGAACAAACAAACTTCTCTAGGTACTTCTTTGGTTTTGAAAAAAGGCATGTCTGTGACTGCCTGGTTTATTTTGGTTTCTCCAAAGAGACCAGTGACAGCAAAGGTCCATCTCAAACTCTTTCCTGAAACACTGAATAAGAACTCTTTCAGGGCTTGAGAAGGGAAATCCATTAAATCTTAAACACTTTCAGTCACTACCGTTGAACGTATCCCATTCACTGGAAAGCCTCCTCAGATTTTATTTTATTTTAAACTATTTGATTTCAGAACTCATCAGAACAGTCAAGACCTCCTTTACTTAGTCATCAAAATAAATTTTATTTAGGCGATCTTCTGTTAATATATATAATTACCTTCTCTGATGACTAACAAAACAAAGTGGAAAAACTTTGTGTTTCTTCCATTTCACATTACTCAGCAAAGAGGCAGTTCCCAGGTAATGCCAGGATCCCCTGCACTGATTGGTCACTAAGTACTGACAGTACTGCTTTGTATTATCAGTTATATTTCACAGGGACTCCCCAAAACTGATATGATACTGATAGCCTCCTTGGCTATAACTCGAAAACATACATCTTATATGTTTCCAACAGTGAATTTCCCCTCCAGAAAATGACCAGCTTATTCAATACAAAGACCATGACTGCACAACCAAAGTCACCCTTGCTCTATTTCTCTGTCTACAGACATGGTTTTGTATTGATGTGCTACTCACTAATGCTAATACAGTATTAATGTACTTCAAGACCATCTCAAGATGTCCATTAACGTATTTTCTACTGTGGGAGGGATATTTGCTTTCTTCCACTTCTGTGAATGGCATGGAGGTACCTTCTCATTGTTCACTTCATCCTCTTCTGGGAGTGCCGTATTGATGGAGGATCCAGAAATTCTTGCAGAGACATATTTTGGCGTTGCATGGTATTATAAACTACAACACTTGGCCCTGTGGAGACTGGACACTTTTGATTCCTTCTGTAGCTTATTCAGGCAATCTTCCTCTGTAAAACTTCTTCTCCATTCCACAGAACTAATTCCACTTCCTTCCACAGAATGCCATGAGGTACTCAGTAAAGTTTACAGTCTGCACTGGGAGGAGTAAGTGGAGAAAGAAGATCTGGAATTAAAACCTGCAAATCTTTTAGCTATATTTTTTGCTTTGATCATTCTCCAAGGCAATTAAAATTTTTACTAGAAGTCTTCAAGAAGGTTTTTAGGGCCATTTAAGACCTCTGCTGCATGTGTCTTGGATATTGCAGAACAGGTGATAGAAGTTCAGACTTGCCAAATTTATCAGCAAAGTGTTCTTAAAAAATTTATGTGTACCTGTGTCAGATTACGGTAATCAGATACCCATAAAAATGTGAGTATTTTCTGCAGCAATGAAGTGCAAAATTGAGCAGTGGTAACAGTGGTATGTAAAATATAAAAACCAGAAGATGCTCCAAATATAAAGATGTTCCTGATCAAACTTGACTTGTTTTCTAAGTGAAAGTGGTTTTCTGAAATACAAACTGGATTGTAGTAGTTTACGACTATGACACATTTCTATGACATTCTATTTCTAAGCTTTCACAGGAACACAGAAAAAAAAAAAAAAAAAATCTTTTCATAATATTTTAAAAATATATTACTTCTTGGGCAGGAGTTAGTGGTAGGCACCTATTGTATGTTTTACAATTTAGACTGTTAAGAACTTCTTAAAATGGCTAGAAAATAAAGCTATTTAAACAAATATTTTTATATAATTAGTATAAATTTTAAGTACAGCTCAGTATCTTGCTTCTTGGATTGTAAAATGAGATCAGAGGAAATCTTATTTTGTGAATTTACTCTTTTGTAATATGTGAGACTATTACAGAATTTTTTAAGGCACAGTAGTGAGGAAAACAAAAGGATTAATAATGGAAGTGTAAGAGTACCTCTGTTGTTTATGGGTTGGTTGTTTTTGGTTGTTTTTTTAATCATGCAGATATTTCACACGGCACCAGACCCCAATATTCCTCTTCCCCAACCTCAGTCCCGATCAGGTTCAAGAAGGACAAGAGCAATTTGTCTATCTACAGGCTCACGTAAACCCAAAGGAAGATATACACCATGTCTAGCGGATCCTGACAGTGAGTTTGTCCTTGTTATTGGCTATCTTCTTTTTTAGGTCTTGTCTTTTAACTTTTCTGAATAATATCCAATACATATTGTATTCCAATAATTATAAGCATACCTGCTGGGGTTTCATCAACTTTTTAACCTCTCTGAATCCTATCTACACTGCTTAATGACTGCATTCCTTGCTTCTCTCAGATGAGGAAGGATGTTTGCTTTTAGGCAAGTCTTGTGTTGCATACCATGTTCAGAAATGATTTAGAGTAGACTTTATATTCTAATCTTAATGTAGTCAGTTTTGGAACTCAGAAGTTCATTATATGAAGTTCATCTCATTTGTTTGTAAGATGAGTAAGGTTGTAAAGCTGTAAATAGAATCTTTCCTCTCCTTTAATAAATACAATTCAGTCAAGTTCAGGAGATGAAAAACTTGGCTTTTTTCACATGCATGAACCTGTGGTCCCACTGCCTAGGTTGCCAAAATCACTGAAAGTTTTGTTAGTTTTTTTGCATTAGAAACAAAGTAATATTTTTTGGAGAAAAAGTGTACTTATCATATGGCTTACTGTTCAACACCAGGGAGTTATGTTTATAATTAATTGCTGCTTAGAATGCTTATTCGTTTTCATGTAGGTGTGACTATTAAAAAGTTTCACTTCATTTTCATATAGTGAGACATAACTTTTTTACCTACTGACTGTGTCAGTAAGAAGTATTGAAACTTTATCAAAGATTAAGTTGTTAACAGTTCCACTACTACAACAGACTTCGAAAAGAACTTCTGTGTCCGTTGGTTCCTCAAGGAGATTTACATGAAACTGGTGTAGTAAACTAATCCACAGTTAAGGTTTATCTGTTCTTGAGGATCTGTAGTAATTCTTAAGTCTGTAATGTTAGGAACTGTATCTTCAGTATACTCTTGCACAGGTGCTGCATTTGCCATAGGTTTATGTTAGATGATTCCTGCCAGTAAGAGTTTAAATACTAAATGAGAGCAATAGCTGCCTACACATCATTTGTCAGTGTGAATGGCATGGGATCCTGAGTAAGAAGCTACAGAGGAACCATTAGTTACATTCACCAGAGGACAAATGGGGCAAGTTTCAACTGGTTTTCACTGTGTAACTGCAATGAATGAATTCCAGCATAAAAAAAAAGGGCATTTCTGTGCAGGTATTTTGCAGAGCATATGCGAGGTCATGCCTCTTCATTCAGACACGTCTTGTGCTGGAACTAGGTATTGACCCAAGAGCTCTCCACTTGTGCTTTGCTTATTAGCTCAAGCTTAGCACTTGTTTATACAAGTTCTGGTTAAGATCTCACTTACTGCCTGGAAGGCCAAGGCAGAAGCAGAGATATTCTCCTTGCCAACTGTCTCTAAGTGTGGCTGGATACAGGCAAGAGAGAGCCTTGGCTTCTGGCAATAGCAGTTTCTAAAGTAGTAGATGTTTTAAGTCATCATTTAAATGAAACAGACAACTATAATGCAATAAATTAAGGAATTCTGTAAGGCATGAGAAAATGAGATAGAGGTTTCAAATGGTTGGGAATGACAGAAAATTATAGAAAATGCATCAGACAAATTTAGGCTTCAGCCAATCTTGCAATGTTCAAGGGACTAATAGCCTGTAAAGTGGCAAAATGGGGAACAGTCTAATCTGGAATACCAGAATTCTGGCCAGAAGTGGACAGAATATTTCCCACTACTGTAGCAGTGGCACTACTGTTGTCAGATCCACACGCTACACAAGGCACTGGTATTTGTGACCTTATCTGTCATATTGTGTGTGGTTATGGTCACTTGTTGCCAAGGATATTGAAACATTTGGAGGCAAAAGCAGCTGTATCATGTTGTTATCTTATAACTACTGTGTGGTTGAAGAATATGCATTCTCTGCTGCTCGTGAAATTTGTGATTTATATCTCCTAGCTTTTAGGAAAAAATCCTACTAGGAACTAATGTATGACTCACTAGACTGAATCCAGTCTTCAAAACAACTCAGTCCTCACTGTGTTATAGGCCAGTCCTCCCTCAGTTCTGATGGCTGTTCCTACCTTTATATCATCAGCAAATTTCTTTAGGGTATTCCTACTTTTTCTTGCAAAAGAGTAGTGGAAACAAGATCAGTACAAAGATTTGCGTGTAGATAGGTACATTTCTCTAGTATCAACCTAATTAAAGAAATTCATCAAATGTTCAACATTCAAGTTGTAAATAAAGGAATGAGTTGTCCTACAGGATAGATACTTCACAAAAGGTATGATAACTCAGAAAATAGGATATCTGTAGGTAGACTTATGGACTGGTCTTACAGAGACTGCAGAGATCCTCAGCAGCTTGGTAACTGAAGAGTAAAACTTAATTCTTGTGCTTCTGGCAATAAAGTCATGCATTTAAGAACATAAGTGTGACAAGCACTGCAACATTTGCCTTATGATGGAAATCCAGCAAGATATTCACCACAGAGATATTGCAACATCGCAACTGTTGAATTTTCTAAAGATTATTGTATTTCAGGCAGTTCTTTTAAAATCCAAACTTCAGTGTAAAATAGTTTAGACTGTGGCCCACTATGTTTATCAGCTATAAAGAAACAACCATGAAAGGCAACTCTTCCAGGCTAAAGATAGGAATATGTGTGAAACTGAGTAACTAAATACGTATTTTGCCTTAAGAATAATTTCCTGTGAAACCATAGATCAGTGAATTTGGTGACAAGTAAGGTACATGGGGCTAAAGATGGCATAAGAAAAATGCACATGATTATAAAATGTAAATTTTTTTTTTTCTCTCTCTCTTTTTCCCCTCATTCCTCCCTAGGTGACTCATACAGCAGTAGCCCAGACAGCACTCCCATGGGCAGCATTGAATCTCTCTCTTCTCACTCCTCTGAGCAGAACAGCACCACCAAATGTGCACCCTCACAGCCCAGGGAGAAGTCGGGAGGGATTCCATGGATTGCCTCTCCCCCTTCTTCTAATGGCCAGAAGAGTTCAGGCCTCTGGACTACTAGTCCAGAATCCTCATCAAAGGAGGATGCAACCAAAACAGATGTGGAGTCGGACTGCCAAAGTGTAGCTTCTGTCACTGGACCAGAGAATGCCTCTCCACCAACAGACTTGACCAAAAAGAGTTCATACAATCTGTCTGGGCTGAAAAGGTCTTCAGCATCTTCCCTTAGATCAATTCCGTCAGCTGAAGGTAATTTCCAAGGTCTTTTACAACATCAGTGTTTACTGTGATGCATCAGAAAATGAGAGCTGTATTTGAAAGCTAATTACTATTTTTTTTGTTTATTTTTTTTAATTTTTGCAGTATGTTCTTTCAGTTTTCAAACTGGTTCTGACACATTTTCATTGTTTGTTACCTGTACAATTCACACAGCTGAAAATACATCAGTGTTTCATATCCTTCTATGTGTCATCTAGACCACTGACTTGTAGGGAGATTACTGGTTTGTAAGAAGAATTGGTAGCTATGGTTTATCAGTGTCAAAGGAATGAATCCTTGCAACATGATTAATACTGATCAAATCTAGCACTTAAATTTGAAAAGCGCTAGGCTTAAGATACCTAGTACCTAGAAACAAGTTTTGACAACTGCATCTCTTAAATTGTCTGAAATAGACTGAAGGAAAGGTGGTTTCTAGGGTTGGGGGGTTTTTTTAGTTATGGTTTTTACCGTCAGTGCCTTTGAGGTAGGACTGGATAGATGGGATAAAAAGGTAATCCCTGGCCTGAAATGTATGTCTGAAACCCTGCTGATGAAATAGGTGCTATATTCTGCACTACTTGCATGGTTTTTTATCCATTACTGCAAGTAGATTACCTTGAACACAAGATTATGGCTGAATGGTCCTGTGTATGGACATGATGTGAAAGAACAACCTTAACAATTGCAAACCCGACTTTAGGAGTTCAATTACAGTGCACAGGTTAGAACGCCAGGCTTCCTGTTCTGTCAAAGAAGGATGCTGCTTCAAAGAACACCCTCAGAGCACCTAAACTGAGCCTATGTCCCAAATAAGCCTGTAGACAAGCCTCATTACAAGACAGAGAAGCTTACAAACAGCTTTTTAATTTAGACCATTCTGTGAACTGCTGATTTAGCTGGAATGCCTGTGTGTGCTGTGCCTCTGTGAGTACATGAGGTGATACTGCACTATGTTGACAGCTATGTGGAAATTACTTTAGAAAAAACACCTTCTTGAAATCAGTATATTAGCAGTGTTTTGGATTATGAAGATTAACAGTCAGCGCTGAAACAGTGAGCTCCAGAGGACTGAGTGCAAGTGCCAGGTTTGCCACTGAGCTGTCAATAGTGTAAGTAATACAAGAACAGGTAGATTAAATATGTGGTTATGTGTCAAGTTCTCTCCTCTCTGTCCGTCATGGAGTGTACAAGAGTTTTCCTAAGACTTCCAGATATGAATTAGTGTTATATTAACAGTATTAATCATGTAGAATACATAATTATCATTAACATTAATTTATAATACAGAATAATACTGTAGAATAACTTAATATTATAGGTATCGTTTGTATATTTTGGGATCTCTTTTAAAGCATTATTAAGCATATGTTGTTCTTGAGAACAGAGAAACACAGAAGTAGATGCAGTTCTTGTCTTGCAGAATGTAAAGGCAGCAGTCTACAGATAGGTCATCTTAAAGGACACATGTGGCCGTGCCTTGTATTCATTAAGGACCTTTCTTGAGTGCAATAAAGTCTGTACTGCTATAGCTCTGTTTTATCAAGTTACAGTATGAATATTTTAGGCAAATCATGATCATTAATTCCTAAGTGTTTTTTTTTTTTAAACTGCACGAAGCTTCTGTGGATACTGAAATATTAATTCTACAAATTAATGTGGTCTGATTTCATAGTGGATGCTGCTTTGAACAGGAATTTGGACCAGATGACTTCCTGAGACCCCTTCCACCATGAATTTTTTCTACAGTTCTATGCAGTGTACTACTTCATAAATACTGTTTTTATTGTCACATTTTAGTGAATGTACTATCTATCCAGTTAAGTGCAGTGTAATTTTTTACCCTTCACAATTTTAATGTCATTTCTTCGTTCTTATTGTTGGTCCTTTTATCCTGACTTTCTACCTGAAAGTCTGTTTCTGCTCTCTCTTAGTAAGTACTTTCTTTAACTATTTTTCATCTTAAAAAAAGGAAAAAAACCCACACCTTTATTTTGCGTGTTACACTTTACTATTCCCTATAATTTGGTTGTTTTCTTTAGGTAACAAAAGCTGCAGTGGATCTATACAGAGCTTATCTTCAACAGATACCAAAGATACACCAAAGGTTCCACCAAACCCTGATTTGCCTCCTAAAATGTGCAGGAGATTAAGATTAGATACTGCATCAAGTAATGGCTATCAAAGACCAGGATCTGTGTAAGTCATCAAGGCACTTTGGAGATTTGTGTTGTTACAGTATTGTCTCTATAAAGTGATCCCAGAGAGATACATAAGTAGTTGAAAAAGCATCCACAAATACTTGATTTTAATATTTCTGTATTTGTGAATTATGTAGCGTTATTAAAATTGTAAACAAAGGAGTCATGGCACAAATTCTTTTAAATCGATTGAAAGACTCCCATTGGTTTCAATAGACTACAGATAAGGTCTGTAATGAATAAATATTTTTGGAAAGTAATTAGTATATTATCTCTGGTTCTTCTGGAATTTAATGTTTCAAGGAGCATAAATGCTACTTACCGTCCATGCTGTTATGTTAAGAAGATCATCAGATTTTGTTTGTGTAAGTCCAAAATAGGAGGAAGGAAAAAAAAGCCCCAGACTTCTCTCTGAAATGTCTTTGGTTGCTACATGTTGAATAGTTGATTTCTAACAGATGTTTTTCTGGGGGGGGGTTACGTTGAGAGGAGGATAATTCTAAGCAATAGAGGTTATAATTTAGTCTGTTGAGATTTGGTTTAGCAATGTTTCTCAGTGCATTTAGGACAATGCATTTAGCAATGTTTCTCAGTGCATTTAGTCTTAAGAGTGAGAAGATCTTTGCTGTAATCCTGACTTTGACCCAGAATTTTTCTGTCCCCATGAACAAGTGATCTCCAGATCTGCAGAGCACCAAAAGTTCTCCAAATACTGCAGGACTCCATTCAGCCTTTCCACTTTTTAAACTGGAAGGAATCACGGTAGTCATTTCTCAGGCTGTTATGTCCTACTTAAACAGAGAATCCTGCACAGCTCAATAGTTCCAGCATAATAGTGACAGACTGACAGTAAAAGCATTTCCAATTTATCTATTGGCCATCCATGAATATAATTTTAAATAATAGGGAGTTGAGATTTCCCTTGCTAACTCAGGAAGTCACTGGAGCATGTGGAAGTCTGGCCCCAGTTAGCTTATGCCCTTAAGAATTCTGCTGAATAGGGACTTAAGTTCAAGTTTTGAATTACCTCTGTTTCTCCAAGTAACAAAACAATTTTTTAAAAAGTGTCCATGTCTTTAGATGGTTAAAAGTGAACCTAGTCTGTGTATTTAATTAATGGCGAGTTATAAAGCAAGATGGTGCTTTTATTTTCAGAGTGGCTGCAAGAGCGCAGTTGTTTGAAAGTGCTGGTTCACTTAAACAAGTTTCTTCAGGACGGTAAGTCTTTTATACTGTATAACAATTTGTAAAATCCTTTCTGTTTTCTGGCTTCAAAGACTGAAATAGAAGTGTTGGGGCTTTGTTCTATGTTTTTTGGACAGAATCATGTGGCATGTGAAACTTTTGTGGTTTATTAAACTCATCCTTTCTCCAAAAAAAAGCGAAATCTAATAGACAATATCAACCAGTTTGGCTGTTCTGTCATCTGGGGGAATTGCAGTGAGAGATGCTCAGGTTAGTGATCTGCTTAAGGACACAGCTACGTAAATTAACAGGATTTATATTAGGTTGAGGGTGCTGTATTTACTCCATACAGCTGTTTGTATATATATGTTTTCAGCAGAGTGACAAACATGCTAGTTTATGGTACTTTGGTCATATGGACAGATCTTCAGTAACAACAGCTTTAGAAAGTTCAGGATTAACTTACTCAAGATTTCTGTCTTTACCATCACACCTTGTATGCCTTAGTATCTGCCTGGAGAAACTGTTGTCCTTTCTTCTTGACAATGGACAGCAGGAATTATTTACATTTTCTTTACAATTGTTTGCATTTATTTGGTGAATTTGATTAATTCTTATATTAAATTAATTTAAAACATTCTGATGAGTGTTCATCTAGGAACCAGTATGTTCCATACATTATTAACCCCCTTACAATTAATAGACTAAAATAGATAATCAAATAAATGGATGTGGGAAAAAGTCTGCTCTCCTTGCTGTCCCTGCATTTCTTTGAGTTCTCAAAGAACATATCTTTGAGACAGAACATACGTTTTTGTCCATCACTTTAATCACTGATACCAGGATCACTGGAACTGTTGAGCAGTGGAGTCAGGGGGTGGGAGGGAATCAAGCCATGAATCCAAAAGTAGTAATCTAAAGTATCACAGCTGTAAAGGAAGATGCCAGTGTGTACTGAGATATATGGCAGTGGAATGCGGCTGTCCTCTCTGACAGATCTAGCAGGGGAGAGAAAGAGAAAGCTGACATGCAAAGGCCTACTGATTTTGTTAGAGAGCAGCAGCTTACAGGAATCAAGGTCATGTAATACATGAACTGTACAGTGACCAAAAAAGAGAGTGGCAGGAGAGGAAAGATGTATGAAAAGAACACGGCAATAATTTAATGAAGAAAAGTATAAATGAAGAGATTGGAATGTTCTTAAGACAGTGCCTTAAGCTGAGAGTGGTAACTGCTTCACCAGTCCTGCATCATTTCATCTGCAACACTGTTCCTGGTCCTATTTTGTATTACTCTCTTCTTGTAAACTCTCCCCTGTTGTTCATCAGAGTCTGAGCTACCAGTATCTGTATATAAAAAGCATGTAAGAGGCAAAAATCTGACAAAGGAAAAAGTCTCAGTTTGATAATGGGTATGGAGAGCAGATAACAAAGCCACAAATGCTGAAAGGCTTAATAATAGCTCCTCTACTTCAGCCTTCCTAAGAAGTAACAGTAACAAGGAGAATGGAAAATGAGAGGTCAGCAGGCAGAATGAGAAAGAGATCTGAAGTAGCTCGGCCGTTCTTATAGTGCTGCTTAAGACTGAGTACGATTTTGCACTTCAGAACCAGCTTTTATTTACCTCTCATGCATGTTAAGAACATGAAGAGAGCTGGGGCTGAGCCTCTTTAGCCAAGTAACAAGCGATAGGACAAGAGGGAATGGCCTCAAGTTGCACCAGGGAAGGTTGAGACTGGATATTAGGAAGCATTTCTTTCCAGAAGGGGTTGTGAGGGATTGGAATGGGCTGCCCAGGGAGGTGGTGGTGTCCCCATCCCTGGAGGTGTTTAAGAGTCGGGTCGACATAGCACTGAGGGATCTGGTGTAATTGGGAACTGTCAGTGTTAGGGTAATGGTTGGACTGGATGATCTTCAAGGTATTTTCTAACCTAGATAATTCTGTGAAAGATGATTTAAAATGGAAGTGTGGACTTTTTTTTTGCTCCGAAGTATGTAGAAATCATGGTAATTACGTCTTGATACGCCCAGTAGAAAGGCCTTCTGTGTTCATAACTACTGTCTAATGAGTAGGCAGGACAGAGTGTAAGACAAACTTTTTAAGATGTCTGGTTTGATACCAGAAGTACTGAAGTATTTCAGTACTTATAGAACAGAAATACTTTTGGATTCTATGCAGGGGTAATTTACAGTGCTAAAATGACTAGTTTTGGAAGTTTAAGCTGCTGCTTCCCTATACATTACAGTTTCTAAGTAGCTTCATTCCTACTTGACACATCTGTTTGTTGTGGTCATTTGTACAGTAGTTGGATCAAAAGTACCTGTATGGCTTTGCAGTCTCACATTCTTTTCTGTATTTCAGCAAATACTTTTGCACGTGATGCTTTACCACAGCAACTTTACTTAAGTTCTTCCAAGTACTCTTTGCAACCTCCTTCCTGATTTTGTGTAATGCAGTATCGCTGTTATGAATGTGTCTGTCCTTTTTTTTTTTTTTTTTTTTTTTTTTTTTTTTTTAAATGCTGGAACATTGTTTGACCTGGCTGTTTTCTCTCCTTGTGTATGTGAGTACCTGTTTCCATAGCACTACCAGTTTGGACAGATTTCTTTTAGTCAGAAAGAAAATAAGAGACCACAGTTTTAGGATTGGACAGAGAAGACCACAATGTTTTGCCTTGTCCAGTCTGTGCTTTTTTTTTCCAATTCCATAGTCACTTCTTAGTCTTTCCATTCCTTCCCTTCTGATTTCAAGTTTATTATTCATCCATCTCCATCACTCTGGTATTAAGCTACTGTGTACACTGAGACCAATCCTTATTGCTAATCTAGTATGCACTTGAAAGAGTCAAAGGAACCTTTCTTACCACTTTCACAAATACTGCAGTTAGATAACAGTCTTAGTAAGTCCTGAGGTCTCTATTGCAGCTTGTGTAAAAAAATGCACCAACACATAATCCCTGACTGCATTTTCTGGACCTCCATTTAGAGGTACACAGAAGGTCAAGTCTCCTGAAGTGAGAAACTGCATTATGAGACGAAGGATTTTGATTAGAAGAACATACCTAGAAAAATGGGAAGGAGGAGTTGGTGACAGCAGACAGCTCCAGCAGTAGGTGCTAGGTGCTGGTCTGGGACTTTAATAGGAGTAAGCTGACATTACGAAGCCCTCTAGACCCATGCTCCCCTCCCACCCACATGAATAAATACGTTTCCCAGTCATTATTCTCTGGGGGATTTTGTGCTATATTTTGCGTTTTCTTAAACACCTGGCATGCCTTGCCCAGACCAGACCAGTGTTTTCTAGTTAGTCGAGCTTGGCTCTAAGTCTGCCATTTCCAGGAGTCTATAAACCTTTCTTCTTCCCATAGGATAGCATTAACTGATGAGTCATCAGAGAGAGATTCACGTTGTTTTCCCTCATTCATTCCTCTTCTCACTTGTCTTTGTCTGGCTAGACTGAAAACTCATTAGGGCCAGAGCATACTTTTAAAACTTATTTATAACTTCTAAATATATTGTCGTTGATGTTGTTATTGTTATTACTAAAAGGGCCTCAGATGTTGTTGACTGTATGTAGTCAAACAAAATAATTTATGATGTGATGAGCCCTGACCTTTTGACTGCTAGTATAAGTTTATCATTATGGGCTCAAAACAAATGTGATAAAAAGTACAGAAAGGAAAAATGCATTTTTCTCATCTGGAGTCTATCCAGTAAAGTCATGGAAAGAATGAAATTCTAGGAAATGTGGGTAACATTTTCTGAAGTTGTATTTTTTTCTCTGCACTAAACGACATGAATCACACTCTTCTTGGACTATTAGCATCATCTTAAGAGAAGCATAATAGATGAAGGTGATGTTATCACATACAGCCTTGTTTGTAGGGAGGACAGCATTAACACTGTAAGTAAGAATGTCTGTTTTCATAATCACACACACACAAAAATGCCCAAGAATCTGCAAGCCCCGTTCATGGTTATTGCTTCTAGCGTGATAAAGGTGAAGCAACTAATAACTAATACAAGAACCTAAGTAATTAAATCGAGTGTGGAGGCAATAACCAGAGGCTTGAAAATTGCTCAAGAATTATCATTAAATATTCATAGAATCTCTCATTATACCATCACAGACAGTTTGCACATAACATTGGGATGTAATTACTCTGTGTCAGGAGCAAGGTAGTGGGAAAAATCCTGTAATTCATGAGGTTTTCAGAAACTGACTTCTTTGTACTTTGTGTATCTGTCTAAATGTGAGATGCTGGGAAGCTTTCTCTTTCCAGAACTGAGGAAATCAGATTCCATGTTTTCTTCTTATCTTCTTTTTACTTTTAAGGTAAACATACCTGAATCAGGTAAAATTGGAAGCTGAAAACAGAATAGTTTAGAGGGCATAAGAGAATATAAGAACAAATTGTATTTATTTTCTCAACTTTTTCTAAGGGCAGTAAAAAACGTTGCATTTTGAGAATAACTTAAAATAATGCTGTTCTGGTTTATTATGGTCTTAAATGTCTTTTGTTACAGTATCACACAGATGTCCCATTTGTAACATGGGAAACTGGCCTAATAGTCATGCCACTAAGTAATGAGGTGCTACATATTAATTGGGTTCAGAATCGTCCCTGTGCTTTACTAAATTCATTACCAATTGCCTCATATTCATTGCAACTACCGTTGTTATTAACAATTACTCTACTGGTTATTATGTGCAAAATCCATGATTATGCCACACAGGTGTATTAGGTTTGTGTGGCAAGGTTTTGGTAGCAGGAGGACTACAAGGGTGGCTTCTGTGAGAAGCTGCCAGAAGCTTCCCCCTGTCTGATAGCGCCAATGCCAGCCGGCTCCGAGATGGACCCACCGCTGGCCAAGGCTGAGCCATCAGTGATGGTGGTAGCAACTCTGGGATAACATATTTAAGAAAGAAAACCTGCTGTCCTGATCCAGTGTCAGGAGAGGTTTCGATGTGATCCCAAGAGCAAGACACAAACAAGGTCAAATGCCATACACCCAAAACAGTTTTTATTATTAAAAGTGAAGAGTGGTAACAATAGGTCAGAATGGAAGGAAAAGATAGAAACAAGCAAGCATCTGGAGTGGAGTTGCAGTAGTCACCACCATGGATCCAGCAGCATCCTGTTGGTCCTCAGTCTTCAGTTTTTTAGTGGTGGGTGCACACAGAGCAAAGTTCTCTGTTGTCTTTTAAGCTTATCTTACCAGCTGATTTGCATACTGGACAGAAAGAGGCAGGCATTCCACAGACTGATTACCATGAGCAGTTGAGTTGGTGGTCATGCTCGCCCTTCCTACTTTTGTTTTTGCCTCAGTTCCCACAGATCTGCTGACTTCATGCTTCTTGAGCAGTCATCCGGCTTCTGGGGCAAAAACCATCACCTCTTAACAGTTCTTCTCACCTCCTCACTGGTGAAGTCACAAAGTCATTTGCAATGCATGCATGGTATCTGGCATACTTTGTGGCTCTATTGTGTATTAGGCTTATGCAGTGGAGCTGGTGATCAGCAGTCCTTGTGCTCAATAAGAAACACCTGGTTTCACCCAGTCCACCTCTTTGAGGCTTATCTAAGGAGTTGGTCAATACAGTTGCAAGGGAATGAGAGGGTGCATCCTTCTATACACTCTTGCTTCCTTGGGTGACATTAATCCTTAGATTAATTACAAAGGCCACAGCTGGTCCTTGATGAATGTTCAAGGCATTACTGACACCACCCCATGACTCAAAGCACACATACAATGAAGCTTTGAGACAATCAATCGACATTTCAGTCTCTTCCACCTCTGTGCAACAGCAACTGCAGCTGTAGAGGAGAGGAGTGAGCATATGTGAGAGAAACGGCTCTGCAGCCACCAAGGTCAGCGAATAAGGAGGGAGAGGAGGTGCTCCAGGCGCCGGAGCGGAGATTCCCCTGCAGCCTGTGGTGACAGGGCAGGCTGTGCCCTGCACCCATGGAGGTTCATGGTGGAGCAGATCTCCACCTGCAGCCTGTGGAGTACCCCACGCCAGAGCACATGGATGTGCCCAAAGGAGGCTGTGACCCCATGGGAAGCCCACCCTGGAGCAGGCTCCTGGCAGGAGCTGTGGCCGCATGGAGAGAAGAGCCCACAGTGGAGCAGGTTTGCTGCAGGAGTTGTGACCTCACGGAAGGGACGCATGCTGGAGCAGTTCATGAAGAACTGCAGACTGTGGGAAGGACTCACATTGGAGAAGTTCATGGAGGACCCCACACTAGAGCAGATGAAGAGTGTGAGGAGGAAGGAGCATCAGAGACGCCATGTGATGAATTGACCACAATCCTCATTCCCTGTCCCCCTGAGGGAGGAGGTACAGAAATCAGGAGTGAAGTCAAACCTGGGAAGAAGGGAAGGGTAGGGGGAAGGTGGTTTAAGATTTAGTTCTTATTTCTCATTACCGTACTCTGATCTCATTGGTGGTAAATTAAACTAATTTCTTCAAGTCAAGTGTGTTTTGTCCGTGGTGGTAATAGGCAAGTGATCTCTCCTTGTCCCTGTCTCAACTCATGAGCGTTTTGTCATAATTTTTCTTCCCCTGTCCAGTTGAGGAGGGGGAGTAATAGAGCAGCTTTGCTGGGCACCTGGCATCTAGCCAGGATCAACCCACCACAACAGGAAATAGCTGTTTTATCAGACTGTTGTCAGTCTGGGTCAGTATAGTTGGAGCATCTGTAGCGCTTTTTGTTATATTGACTTTGAGGAAAAATGATCTTGTGATTAAAAAATTCAATTCTAGTTTACGTGCAACCCGTGGTAAAGTCATCTTATTTCCCGTTGTATATTTTAGTATGTGTTATGTAGATTGTTATGTATGAATTTGTATACATTATGTAGAGTGATGAAACTTCATACCTGTCTTGTTGCCTGTAAGTGACAAGGTCTTCATAACAGTAGGCACCAAGGAATTATCTTGGAAAAATCCTAAACAGAGCAGTCTACACCAGCCAGAAAGCAAGCTAACATTTAAACAAAGTATACAAACAGGGGTCCAATGCTTACGTTGTTCTGGTTAGTAGTGGGGTTGTATCCAGAATGAGAGTACTAAGAGAAATTTTTTTCAGCATTCTGAAAATAAGGTGCCCTTGGATATTGTGGGCACAGCTCATACATAATTCTTGACTCTTCTGGTAATCTCAGCCTGAAAGCGGAACCCTTGATGAATCAGTTGCTCACTTAAGATGAAGGCAAAACACGCCATTTAGTCTAGTCGTAAAACAGCTTCAGAGAAATGTAAGAAAAGCACTTTCTTCAGAGAGAGAAATCATTTTTGGAAAGCTCACACATACAAACTTTGGAATATGTCCATCAATTCCCATATGATTTTAAAGATTCAGATAAACGATGGTGTTCTAGTACTGATTGGCACAGGGTGTGAGGTCAGGGTAGAGGGATGTTCTCTTCTCCCTTTACGAAATCCATCCCTGCTTAACCTCCCCAGGGCGGTGTAGGTAAATGCCATGGCCCCATTGGTGGTACACAAAATAATATCGATTTCTTACTCAAATACTTATGAAGTGGCACTGTTATTAATCTACCTTACAGCTCTGTTATCTCACTATTTTGGGAGGAAATACAAAATAGATTACATGTCACTTGCATATTCATACTCTCCAAAAGTATGCAAAAACTTCACCACAGGTCATATACTGGGTCACTGAGATAAATCCTGGCTGAAAGGAAGGCTGAATCAGTAACTCCCCATCACATCATACAAAGGAGAAATAATCAACAAGTTTATCTTCACTTGGTATAATGTTGGTTTCCAGTAAGTTTAAAGAAACTCAGAAAATGTGATCATATAAAAATTGCTTTAAGTGTATAAATTAAAGTCAGGGTACTAGGTAAAGAAGAGGAATCTAGAGAGAACTCCTAATGTCCATTTTTATGTTCAATCCCCCATTTTGTACTTTGTAGAATCAAAGTGCTAGAAGCCCATACCAAGAGGTGAACTAATCTGTCCTCCTTCTCTGGGATAAAATCATTAAATATCTAACTTTTTCAGATATCTGTGTAGCATCTTTTTTTCGTTGTTTTTTTTTTTTTTTTAATGATTTTTTAGTAATAGGAATTCTTCAATTTGGGGATTCTACAGCTCTTGGCACTTCCAGTACTTCACTGTTCTAATCAATAGAGGCGTCTTCCAGCTACAGATTAAGAGACATATATATACTTAACTGTGTACGTGTAGGTGTCTTCATGTCAGATGATGTTATTTAAGGAAGCATTCTGAAGGTTTCACCACAGGCAGTGGAACCTGGAGAACCATTTGTTGCACTCTCAACATACCATGCTATGGTGTCTACCAATAGCAGAAGCCAGGCTTGGAGTGTCCGTAGAGTTAGGCACATAGATTACTTAAAGACATAAATTTAGGTGACTGAAACTGAATTCCACCCAACACACTTGATTTAAATATCCCTTACTGCAATTTAAATTATCTAAGTCCTTTTTGCAGTCAGCCTAGACAACTGACTACTCCTTTTTGTCTCATATTTGCCTTCTGTATGTTATTTTCTTCTGTAGAGTAGATCAACTGTATTTTCTCACAGGTCATGTGTTTAGACCTTTAATGACTCGATGATCACTTTTGAATTGTCTCCAAGCAGTCCATCACTTGCTTCAAGCAATATGCTCAGTTCAGTACTCATTGGAATGACATCTTCAACTAGAATGAAAGAATCATTTTAAAAGTTATAAATTATATTCCTGATAAACCTCTAAGTAGGGTGTTGGTCTCTTTTCTGCAATAGCATGCTTGTTAACTCCAGTAAGCTTAGAGTTATTTATTACCTGCTATAATTTTTCTCCTCTAAACTGCTGTGTAACTAATCATTAGCATCCTGCATTTGTGCAACTGATTGTTCTTACAATTTCCAGGTTTTAATTTATCTTAATATGTTTTTCCTTGCTATCTTTCTTACTGTAAACCTGTGTTTTTTTCTTTCAGACAAGCAAAAGCCATGTATTCCTGTAAGGCTGAGCATAGTCATGAGCTGTCTTTCCCACAGGGGGCAATATTTTCCAATGGTAAGATATGTTGTATGTTGTCTCTTTATATGTAAAAAAAATAAAATAAAATACTGAACTGTATTCACAAACTGAGAATGTAATTCCATTCTCATCTCTCAGTTTTTGACCTGATTTTCCAATTGCTCTTGAATAAATACTATCTAAATAAATATATGAACCATGTATAGGATCTTTTAACAGTGTTAATTAATTGTAAATATGGTGGGGGGGGTTGTCTGGCTGTTTTTTTGCAGTGTATCCATCAGTGGAACCAGGCTGGTTAAAAGCAACCTATGAAGGCAAAACAGGACTCGTTCCAGAGAATTATGTTGTCTTCCTCTAGTAATCTTTAGTGGACAGCAATATCTTCATGGTATCCATGGTAACAAATAATGAGCACTATGATTTTTATCTGACACAGATATGGGATCAGCCCGTTAGCTGAGTGGTAGATTTCCTTCAGATACTGCAGCTGCAGGTTACACAGCTCCCTATCAATGGAACAGAATGTAATGAAACAGTTAACGGTTTCTGTACTGAAGACGGTACTCTGTTTAAATAACTTCCATTGTTTGCAAAAGGTTGTTCTGTTCTTCTTTTATGGGTAAGGAACACTAGAGCAATAAAATAAAAAAGTTGCTATTTAGCTGCAGACTTTCAGGTCCTAGGATGTTGCTTACAGAAAGAGTGAAATTTAGAGGCAATGCACTCTGTGACATTTCTTGCAATCTATGATTTTTAATATGGAAATTTATTTTTTTTTCACAATGTAAGTAATGCTTCTATTGTGATCTGAATTCTGCCTTAGAAAACTTGATTCTAAAATTAGTCCTAATCATTTCAAATAAGAAATGAGTTTTCCATAAGTCAGAAGTTTGAACTTCTGTTAGTCTGAGATTACAGCATGGTATAGAATTTATGCAACTGATAATAAAATCAGTTTATACACTGCCTGAGCAGTAAGTGCTCATTCAAAATGTGATACATTTAATTAATGTTTCATTCAAATAATTTTTAGATTTATTTCCTTGTTTCTGTATCAGTGTAGATAATATTAACAACTTTCATTTCTATGATACCCATCATCTGGAAGATTTTCTTTGTGTATCTCAGAACAACATCTGAGTGATTGAATCTAGTCATGTGAACTGAGCAGTGAAAAACAATATGTTTTGAAACTTGAGACAAATTGTAATGGAGTCCTTTTCCAGCTTTTTCCACTGCAAGTAAGACAAATGGCCTGTGCAGTAGCTAATTTTTATAAACTATGAATGCTGAAAGCTCCATGTAGCAATAAAAGTATTTAGTATTACTTCTCCTGATTTCTGCTAAACTATTTGACAAAGACCTCCCCTTCTACAGAATAAAAAAGACTGACTTTTCAGAGGTTTTGTAAAGACCTATTGATTGCTCCTGGTAGGACTGAAAAAAAAAAAAAACAAAAAAAACTCAAAAAAAAAAACCCAAACCATAGCAGCTCTTTCAGTCTGAGCATCTTTCTTGCACACGTTGAGGGAAAACATGCACTGCTTGCTTGGTTATTTGCCATGCCCAATTGAGAACAAGATATTTAAGCTTCATATTAGTAATTCTTCAGCATTAGTGCTACAGAAAGAATTCACTGTTTCATAGACCTATCTAGGCTTAGTTTCATAGACCTGTCAAGGCTTAGTTCTTCAGTAACAGAAATCCATATATAAATCTTCTGTTAATTGCCAAGTTGTATGTTACTTTCAGAAAATTTAAGGAACAACATCTGTTAGGACTAAAAACATCAGTAATCTTTTACTTTCTTCTTTTTTTTTTTTTCTATAGCCTTTTTCTTGTTTAAATTAGAAAATAAGATTTATTGCCAACATAAACAAGCACATCAGAACCTTCTTTACTTGTAGGTAGTGCATGATTTCTGCAGAGCAATTCTGTGTTGGAGTTCGGGCTGGTGGCAAAAGCCTGCAGGATATTTCTTGCTAATTAAAGTACCAAGGGGTGATCAGGGAAGGAGAGAGCCTGGGAGAGCATCCTCCCCAAAAATGGTCTAGTTTTTCAGAGGAGGAGTCTGTGTAAGGCTGACTGCAGGAAGTTGAGGACAGACCCCTTGAATTAGTGACTGAGTGATGTGGGTTCTGTCTTCACTCAAAACAGTTTCATTAAGTCCCAAATCATGTTTCACTTCACCTTAAGACCAGACTATGTTCAGTGCGTTGTGGTGAAGGGTTGTTCCAGACAATGTCACAGGCAGTGAAGGCAGATGTGTGTGCTCATCTAATTTGCCCAGAGCAGATGTGAAAGGAAGTGAAGGTCTTTTCTCACCAGGTTAAGCCTTTCTTAGTTTTAAGGTAAGCCAAGTTTTCTTCGTGTAAGCTATGCCTGAAACTGCCATTGCCCTGGCAGTCAGCATGGTTTTGGTTGTGGTTTTGCTGTATTTCACAATCCAGAAGTTACAGGCTACCAAAAGGCTTACCTCTGGTGACCCTCCTAGAAGTGCTGCTGCAGGCAAAAAGGAGCAGAAAGAGAGGAAGAGCTTGGAGCAGGGGCTGGAGGCCCAGCACATCTCATCCATGCAAATAAATGCAGTGATCTGGGGTGAAAAATCCCAACTTCTATCTATTGTACCGGGGTCAGTGGCAATCTGACCATGTTGAACATCCTTTGATGACCTCTTATCCCTCTTAGGAGCAGTTTAGTTGTAAAATTCTTGAGAAACAGAGAAATGGAAAATGTTTGCTCTTACTTGCTTTTCTTTAACCTGATTTAAAAAGAAGGGGAAAAAAGCTAACCTTAGGTAATCTCACAGCTTTTGTGTGTCTGTGGCTATTCTCCAGTACTGTGTTTTGAAACTAGCGGATCTCAGTGCAAGCAAAAGGACTCAAAGATGCCAAGTTCATTAAAAATTTTGTAAAAATTCAAAGTTCAGTTACCAATTAAGTAAGTAGAGTCTGTAAAGTGCTGAGGGAAAGGTTGTAGAAAGACCCTTCAGAGGAGAGGTGTTTTGCCTGTTCCCATGCATTCATCTCACATTAGACACAAAATTGAATTGCAGAAGGCAACTTGATAAGAAACTGGATCCCATTCATTCTGCTATTCACAAAACAAACCTCTATTTTCCTCTGTCAGACTCTGCACTTACTCAGGCCCTTCTTCTGAACCAGCCAAATGATCATGTAAATAATTTTAAAGTAGCTTTAAATAGGCATTTCCATCTGAAAAACATTGTGCCCATTCTTTATTACACTTAACCATTCACTTTCAGTGAATAGAGTTTTCTTTTTTTGGGGGGGCGGGGGTGGGGGTGTTCATCTCTTCTGCGGTACCTAACGAGCACTTTCTGTATAATGTCACTGCTGGGCTGCAGATGCTCCAGCTCTTTCCTGACTTTCCAAGGGGGAGTTGTACAACAAACTCAAAAGTTAAGTAACTGAGTCTTCAAAGACTGAAAGGGGGGAGAGGGCAGTACCAAAGCTTGTCTAATGATGATACTTTCAGGCCTGACCAAATATCCATTCTGGTAATTGCAAAGGATCAGAAATCCAGGTAAATTAATATATAATATCTTGATAGTGCCTTACCAGAAAATTACCCAAGCTGAACTAAATTAGTTCATAGTATTAATTTACTGGGTTTTATGAAAGTCAGATGCATTCTACAGGCAAAGGTTGCGCAATATTTTTATTATTATCCTTCCTAAAAAACCACAGCAGTTCTTTTCCAAATATCACTGTATTACTCAAGGTAGATGACATGTTGTGATTGCTGATTGTCATGAGGAAATAATGTCTGTACCCACAACTTATGTAATTAGCCATGTTTTTTCTTTGTTAAACCTCTTGATACATGTTGCAGCACAACATTAATAAAATTAATAGTGTGAAGGACTGATATATTGTATGATAAATATGTAAAGTATATTATTATTTTATAGTCACACTTTTTATCAATGATTATAAAGATAAAAAATATTTTTGGTGTAATTCCTATGAGTTCAGTATTAAAATGTCCTTGCCATATTTTGGCATTTAGAGTTATATGTAACAAAACTGTTAAATTAAACCATAGCTATCACTTATGTCCCTAACTAATCTATTCATTCTTCAGTTATTTCTGGAAAAAAAAAAAAAAAGATGCAGAGATTTGCTGACCAGAGCTATTCTGTGATAGTAACTTATTTTCCTTTTATATGTTTTCTGGTGCTAATCTCTATTCTTTTCCTGTAATTGGATTCAGTTGTAATGTGCCTTTAGGAAAGACATGTTAGGAGAAGAGAAGTTACAAAATTCAGCAGCTCAGAACAGTAATTACAATAACAACAACAAAAAAAAACATTTTATGGCAGTAATTGGATTTTTTTTTGGTTACATTTCTCCACTGGTCTATTTTCTACTTAATGAGATTTCATCAGAATAAATAATGAAACTAAAAAGCATATTGTTCTTCATACTTCTTTTCCTAAGGCAGCAGCTTGTGCAATTTTGGATTGAACAAGAGAAATCCCAGTAGGGAAGCACATCCTCCAGACTGGGGCAGATCTTCTCCACTGATGGAAACTCTCAAAGCTTTAGCAAAGTCAGAGACAGACCTTTGGCAATTTATAGTGAGGGTTTGCTGGCCAGGAGCCCCCAGTAAGTAAATGGAATATTCTGTTAATGGGGTAATACATGATACAGCTTGGCGTTACCCTTTCTTTCAGCAGAATGACCTATGTGAATCATTCAGTTACTAGAGATCAAGCTACAGGCAATGTTCAGTCTCTCTCTTTGTGGTCACACAGCCCTGACAGCTGCTGCTGCCACCACAGCCCTTCCAACTTCTGCTTATGCTTAAAGTCAGGCTGTTGATCAGGCTGTTTGCAGTACAAGTTGGGAGTCTCTTTTCTTTTGGATGAGATCTTGCATGGGCTTTGGGAGTTTGCTTTGTTTGGTTTTAATAAGGTTCTTGGCATCCAGACAGCTACTAACTCAATGTTGTAATTCAGTCACTGAAGATCTTAGCATTGTTTTTCTTGTCCTGTATGTGGCAGTATTTAATAAGCCATCAGATTATCCTTGTTATTGTAAGTATAGAGAATGGTGCTTCAACCCTTGGGTGTCTCAGCTGAAAGCTATTCTGCATCTGAGCTTTTTGCAAGTGTTTTACTGGGAATTGTCTAAAGTTCTGACACTAAAGATAGCACCATGATCTCAGCACTACAAGAGTTTCTGTTATAGCAAAAGGCAAAGCAGCTGAACAGGGCACATAGATAGTTTCAATTTTCAATCATATTTATGGCAATTTCGGAGGTATTAGAGTTTATAGGGGTTACTTTACATACTATATGTTATTTTAATAGGAAAGTATATACAATCGATAATTATATATTTAATAAAGTCCTACTAAATTATCTTATTGAACTCTCTGTTTATTTTGTAGTGTGGTTTCAATAATTATCTGCACTCTGTATATAAAAATAATCTACATGTAAATAACTGGCATGACATGCATAAGCTGACTTGCAGACATAATTCTATGTTGTACTTTACACTGTATTTTGAAAATGTAAAAAAAAAAAAAATTCAAAATAAAAAGCCTTTCTACACAAATTGGTTTCTTTATTATTTTTAAATTTGGGCTCTCATTCAGCCTTTTCTTTTTTCCAAGAAATAACACTTCTGTGCTACTTCTATACCTGTATATTTAAGCAGCGTTTCACCCATAAGCATGCTTTATGTAGAGGACATTGCTCCTAATGTTGAGCAAAGGGCACATGTATGTGGTAGTAGTCAGCGGCTAGTAGTAGTCAGTATGTATGTAGTAGTCTGTCAGCTGCTGCCTGGTCATGTGGGAGTCGCTGGAGACGTGGCTTTTGAGGAAAAGCAAATGACAACTCTGGATGTTAGGTAACAAGAAGCCCAACCAGGGTATATCAAAACATTGTTGATGAGGTCTTTGCCTCTGAAAATTAGCAGGCGTGCACCCGTTGGTGACCCGATTCCAACAGCACTGCCTGTGAAGGAAGTAACATTAGGAGCCGTTTCTGCATTTCCTTGCATCCCTTTCCCAGCATTTCCCCAAGGCTTTTCTAGCCCTCAGGAGGGAGTTATCTCCATCGCCACCTGTGCCTGAGGCAAGGGGAGCTGTGAGGTGGCCTGCCTTGCCTTTCACCCAAAGGGACTCAAAAAACCTAAGAGGCTTTTATACCACTGAAACAATCAGGTTTTATTACAACATTCATTAGAAATAAGTACATTTCTTAAATAAGGAAGGTCAGACCAGCCAGCTGAGACACGCTTTCCTTGTTCACCGTGTGTTTTAGGCTTGGATAGTGCAGAATACAGCTGCACCAGAACCAGGGAAGATGGGTGCTGGTCCCACAGGCCTGGCTGGCAGCTGCCCGCCCTGGGCACGCACAGGCTGCTGACAGCTCCTGCCAGCCTCACCCCAGGGCACATCTGCCTCTCCCACAGGCGCTGCGCCTGCAACTCGGCTCAAGGGGACATCGCATGTAACTGAAGGAACATAATTGCCATGGCCAGAAATAAAAATGAGGTAGCTGGAGAAGCAGAACAACATGGATCAGGTGGAGAAACAGTCTTTCCCTTGTGTTGCTTTCTAACAGCTGCTCCTAGGTGAAACTTACCCTTCACAGCTCTCCCTGCCTGAAGATTTTGGACATAAAGAGTCTGCTTCCAGGAGACAAAAAATCACCTGCAGTCTGCGGTCACCAAACAGCCTGTGCTTCGCTGAGGTCCTGGCATCCAGTGCAGTGCATGGCCAGGGAGAAGGAAAGGCTCCTCTTGCCAGGGACCAGGGGACACGGTTGGGCTGCAGAAGCCCCTTCTGGCTGTATTAGTTCTGCTGGAAAAGCCCAAAAGGAGAGGGGCTGCAACAAGGGGGGGTAGAACAGAGCTGTAACTGCTCTTACTGAACTATGCCTGAGGTAGGGTGTAGCAGTTACGATACTGTTTTGGGGAGGAGTGGCTGGAGAGCTGCCAGTCAGAGAGGGACCTGGGGGGGTGATTGACAGCCGGCTGAACAGGAGCCAGCAGTGTGCCCAGGGGGCCAAGAAGGCCAATGGCATCCTGTCTTGTGTCAGCACTGGCGTGGCCAGCAGGGACAGGGAAGGGATCTGACCCCTGTACTCGGCACTGGTGAGGCCGCCCCTCGATTCCTGGGTTCAGTTTTGGGCCCCTCACTACAAAAAGGACATTGAATGACTCGAGCGTGTCCAGAGAAGGGCAACGGAGCTGGTGCAGGGTCTGGAGCACAGGTCGTACGGGGAGCGGCTGAGGGAACTGGGGGGGTTTAGTCTGGAGAAGAGGAGGCTGAGGGGAGACCTCATCGCCCTCTACAGCTCCCTGAAAGGAGGGTGCAGAGAGCTGGGGGTGAGTCTCTTGAACCAAGTAACAAGCAGCAGGACAAGAGGGAACGGCCTCAGGTTGCACCAGGGAAGGTTTAGACTGGATATTAGGAAGCATTTCTTTCCAGAAGGGGTTGTTGGGTGTTGGAATGGGCTGCCCAGGGAGGTGGTGGTGTCCCCATCCCTGGAGGTGTTGAAGAGTCGGGTCGACGTAGCGCTGAGGGATCTGGTGTAGTTGGGAACTGTCAGTGTGAGGTTAATGGTTGGACTGGATGATCTTCAAGATCTTTTCCAACCTAGAGGATTCTGTGATACACACTGTCTCCTGAGGGAAACATCAGTGACCGACCCTGTCACCGCTCGTTCCCTGAAATGCTCCCAGCACCACAGGGACCTGTGGTAAGGTAGGTGCAGGGCAGCAGTGCAGCTGAGTGCAGATGCCAGGAGGTGCCTGCCCTGCCCTGCTGCTCCCTCGTTGCCAGCAGGCTGGGAGCAGACCTGCCAGCCTGTGCCTGTACCCGCATTGGCCAGTACCATGACTGCTCCGACTGGGGCCAGCACTTACAGCCTGATTCACAGAATCATCTAGGTTGGAAAGGACCTTGAAGATCCTCCAGTCCAGTCCAACCATTGACCTAACACTGACAGTTCCCAACTACACCAGATCCCTAAGCACTAAGTCGACCCGACTCTTACTCCAGGGATGGGGACTCCACCACCTCTGCTCCTTCTGAGAACCAGAACAGCATGTGTGTGCTGCCACAGATGCCCAGCTCTGCATAGTGGGTAGGCATAAGAGGAAATGAACAATACATGCATTTTGATAGTTCACCAAAAATGATAGGTCATCACTGATTTCTGTTAAAAATCTGAAATAAAATGGTTGGGTTTTGTGTTAGTTTTCTGTCCTTTCCGATGCGGATGGAGGCTTCTTGCCTTTCAGATCCTCTAATCTGCAGGAGTGAACACAGACTAGTTTGAGGTCTAGACTAAGCCCTAAAATAGATCTCACCACTCATTTTCCCAGTGTCTATAGGGTCGTTTTACTTGGCATCATGGAATAACTAAGATTTTTCTCTTATTTCTTGGAAACAAATGTTCTGGCTTACTGTATTTTCTCATTTCAAGGAGTATTTAAATATAACAAAACTTAAATTCCTGTTAAACTAACAACATTACCGTGTTACTACCAAATAGAAAATTCCCAAGGGATGACACACCTGTATTTCATGCCAGAAAAACTGAAGAGAGATTTTATTATTTGGTTGCATTAAGGCATCTTACAGCGCATGATTCTTACATGTTTGGAAAAATGGATCTCCTGTTGGCAGGCTTTATAGCTTGATAAGCCTGCAGTGTGGACTGCTGAGCAATTGACTTGTAGAATAGTTACAGAATAGAACAGGTACTCCGTGAGCCATGGTGGTGTGGAGCCCCTCCAGTGCTCAGCCGAGGGGAGCAGGATGCGAGTGGGGGTCTGCAGCTGTGCTGGCTGCACCTCCCGCGGAGCCACGCCGGCCGTAGCCCCCCACACTCGCATAGAGGAGACATTTCAGTGATGCAAGGAAATGGCGTAAGTATAGACTGAGCAGGCTGCAGTCAGTTCAGGTCCCAGCTGGGAATGTTTTCTCATTAACTGGGCATGATTCATTCCTTCAAAACCAACCTGCCTTTCTAACATGAACACTATGCTTATTAAACATGGTAAATAAGGTATTTGCACTTTTGCCTTTTAAAAGTTTATTTCTCATTTGTAAAGCTTTTCCTGTGTAATTTGGATTGATCACTGATACGGAAAGAAAGTATTGAAAGATATTCTTGGCTTCTTTTGCAACACTTGGCTGCTTTTCTATTGTATTTATGGCAACAAGCTCAGAAGCTGAACTAACCTAGAGCAAGTGCCTTTGCCAAAGATCATGGTGTGCTTTTTGAATGTAAACATGCAGGGGTTCATGGGAACACTGAGTGACCTCC